TGCTCGCTCTTCGCTCCGGTGTGTCTGCCGGAGGTCAGCGGGCCGGTCAGCCCCTGCAGGAACCTGTGCGAGGCCGTACGGGATGGCTGCGTGCCAGTGATGAGCGCGTTCGGCTTCCCCTGGCCTTATATGTTTAACTGCACCCGGTTCCCACACGAAACCGAACTCTGCATCCCCGTATCCGAGGGGCAGGATGGGCGGGAAACAGAGGAGGCGAAGCACGAGGAGGTGCCCAAAGGTCAGTGCACAAAGTTGTGTCATTCTCCACCAAAACACTTTTGTTTTGGGAAGTTCTCAAGTACTCAAGTACAGCTCTGAGGATGATGCGGTTTGCTAGACTGTGTTTTTCTTATAGTTTATCCTTTTCCTTTATTTCCACTGCATTCATTAAGGAAATGTTGCTCACTCACTCCAGAAAAGCTTCTCATAAACACTGAACTGAACTTTCTCATGTTTTCTTTTTCATTGTAAATGTTCACAAGCTCTTCTAGTGTTTCATGTAAGATTTTAATAAGTCTTTAAAATGCAAGTGTTTGTCCCATAATCATAATCCTCTTAGTAGCGTATCAACCCAGTAGGGCACTTTTCTCTCAGACTGCATGCGTACTCGTGGTTCGTAGGACAGAATGGGAGGCAGAGCCTTTCAGCTTTCAGGCCCCTCTCTGTGGAACAATCGCCCAGTTTGGATTCAGAAGACAGACATCTTTTCTACTTTTAAGATTAGGCTTGAAAATTTCCTTTTTGATAAAGCTTATACTTAGGTCTGGATCAGGCGACCCTGAATCCTCCATTAGTCAGACTGCAATAGACCCAGACTGCTGGGGGACTTTAACTCACTATGCTTTTACACATAGTTTACACCTCTCTGCATTTAATCATTAGTTATGATTAATCTCTGGCTCTCTTCTCTTTTGTCCTGTCTTCCTCTCCTCACCCCCAACCAGTCAGGGCCCCTCCCTGAGCCTGGTTGTGCCAGAGGTCTCCTCCTGTTAAAAGGTGTTTTATTCTGGGTTTTTTCTTCCCACTCTCATCAAATACTTGCTCATAGGACGCTGTCTGATCTTTGGGGTTTTCTCTCTGTTATTGTAGGGTCTTTACCTTACAATATAAAGCACTACGAAGCACTATTTTTCTGATTTGCTCCTATATAAATGTAATTGAACTGAAATTTAATTGACACATTTAACTTTAATGGAGTAACTGTTGAAGCCTCCGACAAGTACAATTGTCCAATAATAATAATAACAATAGTAATTTTTAAGAAAACTACATGATTGTATTGTGATGTCACCCATTTTGAAAGGTTGTGCTTCCACTTTGCTGCATCAATAATACTCCAGTCATATGTAAACTGTACTAATTACACTTCACTTATAATATACTCTCTGTACTGTACATGGCATTGTTTTAACTTTGGGATATTTCATTTTAATTAATAACATTGCACTTGGAGTGCTGTAGTTTTACTTCATTTTTATAAATGTAGTTTACATTTCCTGAAGCCATTTTTCTGCTTTATTACATTTTTCTCATATTACTTCTTTATTTTTGTCTTTAAATGCAGCACGTTTACTTAGAACAGATTTTTTTAAAAACATTAATATACTGGCACTTTTACTTAAGTTTTAGTATTACTCTTTATTCATCCCTGAATGTAATTTTTACAGTACTGCAATCACGCCTCTTTCACAGCATCCATTTAAAAAATTCAATTCAGTTTCAACTCAGGTTTATTTATATAGCAACAAATCACTACAACAGCCACCTCAAGACACTTTAGACTGTAAAGTTGTATTTAATCCACTTTTACTTAAGGTTCTTACTGAAGCCTTAAGGTGTTTGGCCTGCTTTGATGCTGGGGTTTAATGGACGAAAGAAAACAAAAGAGAAAAGTTCCACCAAGGTGATTATTTTTATATCCCCACTGCAGACTGCTGCAATCATTTAACCATTGTCGTTTTCCATCCCCCCAGGGAGTGTTATTTGTGAAGCCTGCAGTCTGGCTGCAGAAGGAGAGATTGACATCCAGGAAAACTTCTGCCACAGTCCATATGGTGAGAACAAAGTGTTATAGATAACGTGGGCTCCAAATGCATCCTTTTCTTTTGTAGCATGCAATTTCTCTTGCAAAAACAGGACAGCTTATCTAGTCACAGAGACTGGGTGATTTACAACATGCATGAAGTGACACCTGTTGAATAGTGTTCTCCGTGTCTCTGTCGTAGCATTTAAGATGCGTCTGGGCAGCATGATGACAGTGGGGGGTGACCTTCAGCTGGTGCCTACGGCCCGCAGTCGCATCCTGAGATGGGCGGGGGGAGGGGCTGAGAAAGCAGAAGGAGTCGGAGGCGCCATGGCCCACAGCGCTTTGTGGCTCCAAGAAGGCGGCACGTGTAACTGTCCTGGTTTAGACTCTGCAGAGAGTGACGAGAATGAGGAGAAAAGTCAAGAGGAGGTGCAGATGGATAAGAAACTGACAAAAAGAGGAAAAAAGGTGGGGAAAGGTGGATGGTACCTTTCCCTTGCTCAGGCTGAAGAGGGAAGACTGGTGCTGACTCGACTGGTGAGGTGGAGCAGAGGGGACAAAGAGCTGAAGAAGTTCATCCGAGCTCTCCTCAAGCAGCCGTGTGCAGAGCTTTAAACAGCGAGTCATCCACATCTGTTCCTGCCCTGCAGATGATGCTTTCATTGTGCTGCGTGAATACCAACGCTTTGCAGTAATGTACACAAAGTCCAGCAAAGGAGCCAGCTGCTAACTGGTGAACAGCTGATAGTTCAGACAGTTTCAGATAGCTACGTTAAAAAAATAGTAACATTTTTTTATTAAACCACAGCATCATCTTGATTTGTTACAAAATGTATCCTTGCATTATTATTGTCACTGAGTTTCCTCCATTAAAACGGAGCATTATTTTTACCAAAATGAGAAGCCAGAGACTTTACAAATGATCATCACCTCATCAACAAAGATAAGAGAGCTGGTGTTTGTGTACACTGCTGAACCACCCAAAATCATACCGGCAGGAACATTGCATTTTATTTTTATATATATATTTTTTGTACATAAATGAGTTACATTTTGTCTCCATTATCAAATTATTCACTGAATTAAGAGATCTTTTTGTAATGATCGCTGTGGTGGAGACCGATCTCCCCTCTCTGTGGTGACATGTCCATGCACACACAAGCAATATATTTATCTGTTTACTTCAATTTATTTTTTTAATCTTGTATTTTACTTGATACATCAATAAGGTTTTTCTTGATCCTTCCATCATGACTTAGTAAAGAAAGAAATTGGACTCCATACAGAGACGCACACCTGTTGACGTTAACTTGAGATATCAAATGTCAGTTTCACACTGCCCTTGTTTCTCCTGTTGCTCATTTTATTTGTATTTTATTTTTTTTAAATATACTGGTTTCTTCATGTCACATGAAAAATGGCAAAACCTGATGTTAAACAGTTGTAGTTTTTTTCTGTTAAATGGGAATATTTATAGGATATATATATACTGTCATGCACGTGATACATAAATTATTCACAGCCTTGTGTCTCTGAGCTTCTCTTAAACACACACGCTCTTCTCTCTGTGTTTCTGCACCTGCCTCAGCTCAAGTGCCACCTTTCAAAGTCTACTCTGCTTTTTATTAAACAGGTAAGTTTGTCTTTTCTTTCCGAGTAACATGGATTCTGTTCAGTATGATGCAGAAAGTCGGTGAAGTCTACACTTATGTGGGGCAGTAGAAACATCTAGAGCGGCACAGTACTTTCTTTCACATTTAGCACGAGACTATGGCGGCTACACCTGTTTCTGTGCAGATGTCATTTTGCATACATGAGTATTAGAAGTTCATTCAGCTCAGAAATATTTTGTGATTACAAATAAAGATCACAGTGTTTTAATTATTAACAGTTTCCTGTGTATGTACATTTATTTCTTTGCTGTAAAGAAATAATGATTAAATGAAAATTGTGGCTTTTCTGCGTCCTTGTTGTCCTTACTTACAGCTTAGGTCATATTTAAAAGCTAAACCAGACTACGTTACTGAAAAATGTACAACAGAGACACACTTTGGGAAATTTTTCTTAATCCAGTGCAGTATTACCTTCTGTTGTTGTTTTACGTGCCAGTACATCATAGTTTAAGCACATAGTGCATAAACAGAATAAGTAAGTGGTTTTGTAGTTTGGAGAGTGATACCACTGCCCCTGAATTATGATTCTTTATTTTTATGAGAACATCAGTTGATGTTTATTTAAAAAAGACAAGTGCCTTCCTCAATGAATCTGAGCTAAGAAAAAATGCAATAATATAAATTCCCTTGTGCCAATCATGGTATTTCTAAATTTTAAAGGAACGCACGCCCAGTGTTGTCTAAGACACCAATCAATGTTAAATTGAAGTTGAGTAGTAATATTTTCTCTGTTTATGCTGTTGACCATGAAATCAAAATGATTCAGTGCTTTTATAAGGTGTTGCAGGTGCATAAATTCTGTGGGAATCAGAAAGAGAGCAACAAGTATACTTCAGGTATTAAAGGACTTGCCAGTTCACAAAAACACCAATTTAATGATCCCCTATGGCAAACACCAGGCCGAAGATAGATACTTCCAGCAGAATTTGACTCAAGCAGGCGCAGCCATCAGCCGCGACCGAGTGGTGGGTGAGGTTAAAGAAGAGAGAGAAAAGAGGAGCACACAGAGACAAGACACAAACTATGGGAGAGAGCAGACATATTTTAATGACATGCTGTAAACGTGTGTGTGTGTGTGTGTGTGTGTGTGTGTGTGTGTGTGTGTGTGTGTAGACTATTTGTTCCCAAAGGTCTCCTCTTTTAGGTTTTCCAGAGCCAGTCAATCAAAACATCTTTCAAAAACCCTTGTAGTCAGTGTTTACTTATACTTCTTGTGATAAATAATACAGGGCTCACTTTGTTAAAATATATCTGACAAATAACCGACCTGTGCATGTGTGTTTCTGTCTGTAGATGCTAGGATGGTGTCTCCTGCTATTGCTCTGGCCTTCCTTCCACTCCTGCTGACGCTGATTATCAGGTACCGTTACTTCTTTGTGCTGTTCTATCGGGCAGTCCTCATCAGGATATGGAAGGACTGCGTTACTGGTCTGAGCCGAGAGGAGCGTGCCTTTCAGTACGTCCTCACTCATGCCACCCCCGGAGACCCTGACAGTATCCTGGACACCTTTGATGTCTGGTGCAGCAAGGTGGAGTTCATCAGCAACATTGGACCTAAAAAAGGTACAGAGTTTGAACACAGCAAACGTAATCTTTGTTTGTTTGTTTTAAAAAGTAAAAAGCACCTTTAGGTGTGTATTTGCGTGTATGGTTTCCTTGATTTTTAGGAAAGATCCTGGACCGGCTGCTGATGGAGCACAGCCCTCTGACAGTGCTGGAGCTGGGTGCCCACTGTGGATACAGCACTGTGCGGATTGCCCGTTCTCTGCCTCTGGGCGCCAGGCTCTACAGCATCGAGATGGACCAGAGAAATGCCGCTATCGCTGAGAAAGTCATCCGCCTGGCAGGGTTTGATGATGACACGGTGAGTTAGAGAAGCATCTAAACAATTTAAAAAATGTTCTTTGTTCAGTACACTTCATGTGCAGCAGGCCGTCTGAAAGACCAGATACATTTGGGGCTTTATTACTCTAATTTTACTAAACAATGAGAGTTTCATACTTTTGATAATCATGCTGTGCTTTCCTCAGGTGGAGCTGATTGTCAATCCATCTGATGAAGTGATCCCTCAGCTGCGCTCTGACTACAATTTAGAAAGACTGGATTTTGTCTTCATGGACCACTGGAAGAAATGTTACCTCCCTGACCTGCAAGTAATGAGAATAAATTACTAGACAGGATATTTGTATATATTATATTATATTATATTATATTATATTATATTATATTATATTATATATTTGACTTAAAGGTTTGCGCTTTCCTACTGTTACCCACCCAGCTGCCTCACTCGCTGTCCCTGTGTGTTACAGATGCTCGAGGGCTCTGGTCTACTGGGAAAAGGATCTATTATCCTGGCAGACAATGTGCTGTTTCCTGGTGCTCCAAAGTTCCTTAGATATATTCGCAAGAGTGGCCTGTATGAATGGAAGATCCACCGGGCCATGCTAGAGTATAGCAAGGGCATCAGGGATGGGATGGCTGAGCTGGTGTACCAGGGAATCAAGTAGATCATGACATCATGGCAGGATTTCATATTGTTACTCAAACACACACTTCAGAAACAGAAATGTCCAAATTCTTACTTCATCTAAAGGGGTATCGTTTCAATTTCTAGTCTGTGTAACAATACAGCTCAACCTGTGAAGAAATACCTTGCAAAATAACTCACTAGTGCATACTGGGTAAAGGAGGAGCTTCAAGGTTTACTGCAGATCCCGTTTGACCAAGTGCCCCACCGATTTCACAAGAGATAATTTACTGCAACATTTACCCACAAAAACAAAACAAAGCTAAATTAAATCTTAAAACAAAAGGCTGACACTTTCTATATAGAGAAATATAAACAATCCCCAGTTTAGGTATCTCATATGCTCCAATCACCTTTTATTCTACTGGGACTTTGTTGTGACTTCTCAGCATCTCATGTCTTTTCTTTTGTTTAAAAGACTCAAATAAACAATTTTTTTAAGGCTTCTTTTTTCTTACTCCCAAATTTGAGACTCACAAAATTTAATCTAATTGCAAATTAAACCTAAATTAAAATAAATTTTTTATTAAAGTACATGTTAATATTAATCACCTGTCTTCCTTCAGCTGAACTGCAAGCATTAATTCTTAAAATCTTCCCTGCAGTTAAAGTCTAATTATATAAACCTTGGCCATCCCACCACCAAAATTCACCAAACTTTTTATTGAACTACAAGTGACGCGTCACATCTTGTTAGATTTTATTAATAAATTCAAATACACAAAAACAGAAACATGGTTCAGTTAAAATAATTTACAACTTCAGCAGAAGTAGGGAATGCCATGGTTAAATATTCTACAACATAACCATGACAGAACTCTGTGTCTCATATTTAAATATTTGTTAGCAGCTTTTGCTTCTGACATAGTTCAAAATATAAAAAGTGTCTGATCAGAATACATGTCCTGGGGTTTTATGAATGCTCTGCTGAAGGTATTTCTGTAACATACAAAACACTGCTGGGAAACAGAACAGGACTATATGGTGAAGCAACTGGATGACTCTTGCATAGGTCAATAAGTTATTTTGCTGACTTGACGTTATGGTCATGCTTAGTCTGCTGGTTGCAGACGCTGCTCTGCATAACTGTAGATAGCAAAAGTTCAAGGTTTACATAACGGATCAGTGGGCCTGCTGCTACCACTGCGTGAAGGTTTTCCCAACTTGATACAAAAACAACACTACTTAAGAGCACCACACAATTGGAGCCACTTTGATTGGTTTAAAGTATTTTCCACAGTCACACACTGTCAATTGTAATTAAATTGAAGTTAGAAAAAATGCACTGATTTCTCAAAGTATCTTATGGTGATTCTTCAGCATTGTTCTTTCACTAATTTCACACATAAAAACATGTCAGAGACTGAAGAGCAGCAGTTGTATTTTAAGCATGGAGTGGAAACCCAGGGCCAGCCTGATGAAAACCAGTATTGTCTTAAATCATCCACTGGTCTTGGTCTTGGTCTGGTCCTTCCATATCCACCTGACAGAAAGAAACCGAGCTAGATTAGAGGCAGTTTTGGTAATGGAAAGAAACTGAATTAAATTTAGATACATGTATTTTTACCAAGTCTTAACATTAAAAAACCTCATGACCGTAGGGTTTGTGATACTGTCGCCTGGAAAAAAAATTATTCAAATCATAAAGAAAAGCACCTCATTTATCTCGCCATCATCAGGTGACTCGTTGTAGTCGTTCATCTCATCCATGTCCTGCATGTCCTCTTCATCTTCTGAGTCTTCCTCGCTGTCTTCTTCATCTTCGTCATCTTCTTCTTCCTCCTCTTCGTAGCCTGCCTGCACCCAGTAAATGCAGACAGCATGAATGGAGGGGAACAAAGTATGTAACCAGTCTGTTTCACACTGTGTCTATTTTGTGTTTAAAAATATTTTTCCGTTACCTCAAAAATTGGTTTTCCAATGGGCATCAGATTGTTGTCTTTCTCAGCAATGCTCTGCAGCTACGGTAGAGACAGTTTGCACATATTAAAGTGTATGAAGTCTCATAATACGATCAATAGACTGATCATGCATGGCCAGAGATGTTGCAGCTGTGGGGCTTGACTGATCTGAGGTTTCAGAAAGGACAATACTGTCCAAGTTATGCTAAGTACTGAACAATCTTTCACACCGTACTGTGTAAAGTATTGTTTTAACTTTGTAACATTTAATTTTGACTAAACATTGCACTTTGAGTGCCTTAGTTTTACTCTTTTTTTATATATAGTGTTTACACTTTCTGTTTTTCACATTTATAGCTCAAGTTAGAACGATTTCCTCCTGGGATTAAGATGTATTTATAAGTTTATTTATTATTTTGATTCTGATAAAGGAAAAATAATAGAGCCACCAGTAATTATAGCAGACTACAGGACTTCTATATGACTTTTAGCCTTTCGCAAATACTCAAACTAATAAATTATAAACTAACACGCGCAGAGTATATAAACTCATCGTAAGTGAAATGGAAGCAAAAAAATTGCATAAAGATGGAAAATGCAAGTCTATAATTGCTCTGGGGAGCCTTTACCCAGGTCTGGTGCTGCTGCTCTTGCTGGTGCAGCTCTGTCTCATCCACACACGGTCGGTCCAGATTAAACCACAGAGACTCCGTTATCCGGGGCAGCAACGACGGAAACAGCGTGGACATTTCTGTCACACAACAGAAATGAATCCCATAAAACAGAAAGAAAACTGAAGCCGGAGTTTGCGTTAAGACAACAAACGACAGAGGAACAGCTAATACGTCATTAACGGTCGATTTAAAACTCCTCCAGTTTAAGACTCACAGACTCTAAAATCTAACACTCCCCTGATATTGTGGATTGAAAATGATGTGATATAATCAAACAATAAAATAACTTCGTGCTTAACCTTACCCGAAATCCACAGTCTGAGTCCCTGTTAGTGGCTCGACAAAAATTCAAAACAAATTTTACCGGAAACTGCTGGTGTTCACCCATAAAGAGTCCTCCTTTCTCCAGCGGCTCTCCATAAAGGTTCCCTTTTCGGAGCATGAGCCACGTCTGTGGCACGAGAGGTTCTAAATAAAGTAGAAACACTAATGAGCTTTAACTAAAATGTGTCACAGCGATATTAATGTGTGTGAATGGGTGGATGACAGGTTGTGTAAAGCGCTTTGGGGTCCTTAGGGACTAGAAAATCGCTATACAAATACAGGCCATTTACCATGTTTTTATTTTAATGATCGGTATATGCAATAAAACATGTTATTTGTCTTTATTTAATTTAATTTTATGACATGGTGTTGACAAGCTGAAGAAGAACTGGGATGTCATCATCATCATCAACAACAGGTTAAACTGGAAGACCAACACAGAAGCTGCATATAAAAAGAGGATAAAGAGATCCCTCCGCCTATACAGTAAAATGATGGAGACTTTCAGTCACTCAGGAACTGGTCACACCCAGTGCCCTCCAATAGTAACTGTTGGTGACACCAGCAAACTAGATTAGAAAAGAACAGATTAGAAAGATTTGCTCTTTGAATGCCTGCAAACTGGACACATTTGAAGCTGCGGTGGAGAGAAGGTCACTGAACAAGCTGTAATCCATCATGGCGTATACCTCTGCACCACTTAGTGCACTTCAGCCTGAACTGTTTTAGTCAAGTGCTCTTGTCCTTTCTTTAAGTAGACTTCAGGAATAGTTCACCAGGCTTCTTGAAAGACATTCAAAGCTCCTCTCAGCATGTTGGCTCCCTTTTGCATAGCCTCCACCATGCTTTACAGATAGTTTCAGACACTCACTGTTTTACCTCTCCTGACCTCTTGTGTACAAATGGTGATTTAAACTAAAAATTTCAAATTTGAATTCATCACTCCATCAGACCTGTTTCCACTGGTTTTCAGTCCGGTGCTTGTGCAATTTGTCTTTTCTCCCTGTTGCTTTTCTTTAAGAATGGTTTCTCGACAGCCACCCTTCCACTAAGACCATTTCTGATGAAACTTTGATGAACAGTAGATGGATCAATTGAACCATCTCTCAAGTCCTGTCTCAGACTTTTTGCACACCAAGCTGAGATATGCCACGTTTTCAGCAAATAGCTCAAAGATGAATTATCTTCCTTGTGCAAAAATATTACTTTGTCCCAGTCAAATAGATTCGACTGAATAAATGGGAATAAATAATGCATTTTTGTGGCATGTTGCTGGTAACAAAGTGACTGAAAAAAAGTAGTGAGTAAAATGAGAGGTGAGTAAAGACTTTTGCACAGTACTGTATCTGTCTGGAAGAGTAGCATCTGCCATATATTATTATTATTAGTAGTAGTAGCAGTAGTATTGTGTATTATGTGATTAGTGTATATCAGCTTTAAGCAACCCATAACACAAACACTCTTTCAAACTATAGGAAGCTGCTGAGATAACAGAATTTTCTGTAAATGCTGCTGAAGTTGAACATTCTTATCAGTAGGTTCAGAGCGTTAACCTCAAGTATAAGCACATTCATGCACATGCAAAGAAATTACCCTCTTGAGGGTGTATGTAAAGTTTCTTTTTTCTTTGTCATGGTGAGAGCACTAAAAGTACTTACTTACCATCCTTTTGATCTTCTTATTGTCATCCCAGGTCACGCTGCCCTGTCACAACAGCTTGTGTGTGTGTGTGTGTGTGTGTGTGTGTGTGTGTGTGTGTGTGTGTGTGTGTGTGTGTGTGTGTGTGTGTGTGTGTGTGTGTAAGAGAGGGTGGTGGTGAGCAGGTTAAACCTTGAGATAAGACTGATATTCTTCATGGCCAGATGTTATAAAACTGGAAAATCACATGCTCACAGGAACTGCTGACTGGTAACAAATTAAAGAAAAATCCGACATCAAGAGTGTTAAAGTAGCTTATAGATAGCCTGGCACTGGTTCTACAGTTATCTGACCAGATGCAATATCACTCTTCTATGAGATAGTCCCGCCCTTGGTGTTTATGATGGCAGTGGAGAGGAATGTCTTACATGGTGGTCCAAAATCTCCCATAGATGTTGACTGAGTGCATGTGATTGTGAAAGCCATAAAATATAACTGACTTCATTTTCATAATTATGAGAGTAGTTTAGTGACCTCTTGTACCTTGCAGACGCAGGCATAATCACCTGAAGAATACTAGTCCAATCAGGCCAGAAGTATTTCATCATAGGATAATGGAGATAACTGAGAACATGGTAGTCATTCAAAGTGACCCACCACTCTGAAGGGACCAGGGGACCCAGACCTGGATACCCGTATCATTGGAGGTGGGGGTGTCTTTGAATTTGTCACATCTTAAACACACACACACACACACACACACACACACACACACACACACACACACACACACACACACACACACACACTTCATATGGACTTTGGACTTTGAAAACTAATTAGTCAAAAGCACAGCAAGTTTTCACATTCATTCGCTCACACTCTACCCACACAGTCAGACGCGTGCACACACACAAACACGCAGTCGGGCACAAATCTGTGTTTGGAAATTCTTGTTTGGTCTTGAGAAGTGTGTTAAAGGGCATCTGCAGATACAGCTTTGTAGGATCATCCCTTCAAGAAGGAGTCATCACCAAATCCAAAGGTAAAGGGAATTTGTTCATTATTACTTTGTCTCTAAATGAATTTTCACCACAGCTGCATCTACTTTGTATTTCTAAACTATACGATAATACACAGCTACTTCTATTTACATGCATATGGATTATTTTATCTATATATGATGATTAGAGCTTTACAAAATCGTTGACAAGTTTATCTTTCATGTTTTTTAATGTTTGGCTTTTAAACGCAAAAAGGTGTAGAGACACATTTGCTCTCTGACAGAGTTCACTTTATAGCTTACATTGTGTCCTTTTGCATTTTTATGCTGCATTCAGGAGCCACACTTTATTTGTTGCGGTATTGTGGGTAAAGCTTTCTCATGTCTTATATTTAGTATTTAAAAGAACCCAAAAGTCAGATTAGCAGAGAGAAAAATCACACGTGGGACAGAGTAAGTAAAAGAAAGTAAGTAAAGTTTTATTTATATAGCACCTTTCTGGATAAAAGGTTCACAAAGTGCAGGTAAACGGATTCCACAAAAAGAAGTGAACACAAAGCGTGGATCGTGTCCACGTGTGTGCCGTCGGTGCTGAAAACCGACATCTGAAAGATTATGAAGCTGGAGGTTTCATTACTCTCTGGCCACAATTCACTGAACCAGCTGCAAAAGAAGATCAAAACTATGCTTCACGTTTGATAAACATCGTCATGAATTCCCTCTTACTTTTGCTCTTTTGCTTCCACCACGATAAAATCAAACTTCCTGCACAGCTCTTTCTCAGTGTACTCAAGAGCCCAGTTTACCATGAAATATCTCTGTTTTCTGCATTATTCGCTTGCTTATTATGCACCAGTCTACCGTTGTGTTCAGTGCTGTCAGCCGCTTTTTGTTTGTTTTGGTTTTTGGATTTTTGGGGGGTTTTTTTTAAAAATGACCACCAACAAGAAAACCTAATTTCTGCTGTTCAATAAAGAAATTTACCTGATGCTGAACAAAGCAAAGCAAAGTTACAGAGGTTTTATTAGAGAGCGTTTTGCAATTCGGCATAATTTTAAGAAGTTTAATGTTCATCTGCTGATTCATGGTTTTCTTCTCTTTTGCCTACTGCAGAATATTTTTAAAGGTTATCTGCTATAAAAAGCCAGGCCAAGAAAATCTCCTTCATGTTTTTCTAAGTTTTATCCCCACTTACACAGAGGCATCTCCTGTGATGCTTACACCTCTGGTAAAGTCTCACAAGTTTCAGCTTTGTTTTTATACATAGATATAAAAATATGGATATGTACTGATAAATGATGACAATTATGATATTTCTCACTGTCTGAGTCAAAATTGAATCGAATTGAATGGAATCGGGGATCTAATCGAATCGGGACTTTGTGAATCGGAATCGAAATGGATACCCAGCCCTTATTAAGTCATCACCACATCAATCAGCTTTGCTTAGCTGTTCTTCCTTGTAAATTTTTTGTCCAGTTTGGAGTTCTATAGCTTTGGAGAATTCAGGTTGTCTTCTTACAAAAAAAGCAAAAACAAGGACTGTCCGGATTACCATAAACTCTAAACTTTGTCACTAGGTCTGTTACTGAAAGAGATCTACACCAGGGCTGTTAAATACTGTAAATACTGTTAAAATATTAAATTAGTACCTATGACCAAACAATCCAGACACCTGCCTGCTGATGGTAGAAAATTAACTAAGGTCAGTAAAATGCTGTTCGTCAGACTCGGGTTAGAGGTCACAGGGAGTTGGCTGCTATCCCATACTATTTCCTTCTTCCCATTATTGGCCTCTTTATAAGCAGTATTAAGATTTTTCCCACAACCTGCTGTTGATGCTTCCCTCCCCTACAGTCATGTGGTCCGTCCTGGCCTTGCTGCTTGCCCTCTCTGGTGGAGCCATGTCTCTGGACAAACTGAACATGTGCATGGATGCAAAACATCACAAAACAGAGCCTGGCCCTGAGGGACAACTGTACCAGCAGGTGATAATTGCAAACATAGCACTGTCGCTAACGTTTCCCTTCTTGTCTTGATTTAAACCCCAAGGAGCTTGGTGGAAAAAACATTTTTTTTAGTTCTAAATCCATAAAGTGATTCTGGTTTCCTTTTTCCAGTGCTCTCCATGGCGAGATAATGCATGCTGCACAGCCAACACCTCTGCAGAAGCCCATGACGATGCCTCCTATCTCTACAACTTCAACTGGAATCACTGTGGCAGTATGAGCAAGGAGTGCAAAAAACATTTCATCCAGGACACTTGTTTTTATGAGTGCTCACCACACTTGGGACCCTGGATACAACCAGTGAGTATTCTCATCCACGTGTGCATTTGAGTGTCTAATGTTTGTCTATATTTTTGTCACTAGATGGCAGCACAGGAAGTTGAAAGGACAGAAATGGTCTGTTGTTCAAACTGAGGAAACAGAATATATATATATATATATATATATATATATATATATATATATATATATATATATATATATATATATATATATATATATATATATATATATATATATATATATATATATTTATATATACATACACGCAGTAGTTAGAACTATGAGGGAAAGGGGCTTATTTAGTTCATTACTGATTATACTAATCAGCCAATGGTGTGCATTTGTGTAGGTGGATCAGAGCTGGCGTAAGGAGCGCATCTTAGATGTGCCTTTATGTAAGGAGGACTGTGAAACCTGGTGGGAAGACTGCAAGAATGATTTCACCTGCAAAACTAACTGGCACAAGGGATGGGACTGGAGCTCAGGTGGGGCCCACACTTGGAAAAGCAAAGCAGACATGCATGTTTGCGCTTGCATTTCTCTTATAAACCACAGCAAGCATATTCCCAGTTTTGCAAAAACATTTTCACACAGAGATTTTTTGTTGTTGTTGCTTTTACATTTACATCTATGCAGAAACAACACTATTAAAATTTATCAAATGCATTCAATTCTGTCACAGGTATCAACAAATGTCCTGAAGGTAGCAAGTGCAGTAAGTGGACTGATGTTTTTCCCACACCCAAATCCATGTGTGAAGAAATCTGGTCCAACTCTTACATCTATACCACATACACCAAAACCTCTGGGAAATGCATGCAGCTCTGGTTCACCGGCACAAACCCCAACAAGAAGGTTGCTGAGTACTACCTCAACAATGGGCAGCAACAGCAAAGCTCTGCTCTGCCAACACTGCTCTTCCTGGCTGTCACATCTCTCTCTCTGTAATGATTCATTAAAATTAATATTTCTGACCATTGCTGTATCACCTTGAATTAAAACAGATTTCTTAAACCTTTCTGTCAGTCCCTGAGCCACTTCATATACAGTAAGACCCCTTTGGCTGGCATTCTAGTAAAATTCATCAACTAGAAAATGTCAGGTATTGATGATGCAAAAAATATTCTGATAACAAAAGTTACCTGCTTAGGAATATACTAGGTAATTAGTTTAAACAGCAGCATAATCACCATCAGAAGTCCAAATCAGTTATTAATGCTCAATACATAAAACTTGTTTCATCTACTCTCATTACTGTGGGGAGCAGCTGGCAGTTCTCTTTTTTTGTCTTCCTCTTCAGGATAAAAAAAAGAGAAAACAGACATAAAGAACAAGATTATAATTTCATCAGCCAACACAGCAATTTTGTGTCCAGACAAGTGCTGTACAATCAAAGATCTGTGTGGACAGGGGAAATAAAACAAAAATAAACTTGTGCTCCTGGAGAAGCCATGAAGAGACACATGCCACATTCTGCATTACTGCACAGCTCTGGAATGATATTTCTCTTAAGTGCAGTCTATGGATCAGCTTAATAACCCCTTCACAACCTCAATGACCAGGAGGGAAACTGTAAAACTGACCCTGGGAAAATGTTTCTCCGTGCTGGGCCCCAGTGATCGCACCATCACATGATCAGTCCGGGGCCAGCCAGTGGTTACTGGGCTCTGCTGCTCGGTAATTATGGGGTTCCAGTCCCCTGAGTGTGTGTGTTTGTGGCAGAGAGAGAAAGACAGAGAAAAAGAGTGAGAGCCTAACTCCCTCCATGTGTACACGTGTTTGATGTGTGCCTATCAATGCCGCATGTGAATGTGCTCCATCAGGTCTCTGATAAAGGCTTTTGATTGGTTAAAATGTAACCACGGATGCCTTTGGAGGCTTAAGGATCAAACTGAGATGCATATTTTATGTACCCTGTACTTAATCAAGACTTCATATAAGTACTTGAAAAAACTATAACTATAACTTGTTGTGTTTAACGTACTGATAACAACACCCTTCCTCGTGATACCACTGTTAATTTAGCATATCGAGTTTAGTCTGTGTATCTCACCCTAGTCTTTCCTGTTTCTTCTGACAGCATAAACAACACCCACAGAACTTCTATAAGAGTTTGAATTACAGAAGACGGTTTGCCAAATTTTTGCCAAATTATGTTGGTTCTTTATGGTAAACAAAGTACACTCAGTGCCCGCTCAATCACAACTGCTTTAAAGACACATTCCTGAGAGATTTTGGTACATATTACCATGACATCATCATGCAGATGCTGCAGATTTGTGCCACCACATCCCACACCCTAACAGTACTTTATTGGATTTAGATCTGGTGACAGTGGAGGGACTCTGAGCACAGTGAACTCTTTGTCATGCTATACAAATCAGTTTGAGATGACTTGAGTTTTGTGACATGGAGCATTGTCCAGCTGGAAGCAGTCATCAGAAGATGGATACACCATGGTCATAAAGGGGCATGGCATTGTCAGCAACAATAGTCAGGAAGGGTGTGGTGTTTAAATTGTGCTCAGTTGGTACTAAGGATGCCAAAGTGTGCCAAGGAACTATCCCCCACACCACTAAGTTATCAAAAGCACCCTGAACCATTGATGTCAGGCAGGATGGTACCAAGGGCTGGTCAGACCAATAGTACCACTCAGAGGGAATCTGTAACTGAGGGGTACCGCTGAGGGGACCCTGGGGAGTTGGCCCATTGGTTCTTTTCCAGGAGAGGTGGACATTGATAGAGGAGAGCAGGCATGTGGTGAAATGAGGTGAGAGCTCCAAAACAGTTTTACAGTAGAAGTTGACCAGCAGAAAGGAAACAGTTTCGTTCTGCACATGTGAAGACCACTTATTTAGCCAGAATCAGACTTTTATTAATCCCTGAGAAAATTATGCATACATATGTAGCCAGGAGGAACTAGAAATGTGGCGAAAGAGCACTAACACACTGAGAGGGTAAGTTAACAAAGGTGTTGCAAAACAACCTGATGAGGAGGCTGATAATCTGGTGGAGGCTGGGAGCAGAAACAGCTACGTTTAAACAGTGACTGATGAGACTGATAAGCACCAAACAACCCAGTGTTTGACCAAGACAGATGGATCCATGCTTTCATGATGTTTAGACCAGATTCTGATCCATCCCATGATCTAAATGTTTTTCCAAACTTCTTTTGTCCAATTTTGCTGACACTGTGTGAAGCCTCAGATGCAGCCTCAGTCTGGCCACTCTCCTTTGACCTCTGACATTCACTCAGAGACCTGCCGTTGGCTGGATATTTCCTGTTTTACAGACCATGCTTTGCAAACCTTAGAGACATTTATGTGGGGAAAACATTTTCTTAAATGTTCAGATTAGCTGGCACCAACAATCATGCCACATTCAAAGTCATTTAAATCACCTTGTTTCCTCATTCTGATGTTCAGCTTGAACTCCACTTGATCATGCCTATATGCCTAAACACACTGAGTTTCTGTCACATGATGGCTTATTAGATCATTTTGTTCACAACCTGCGGAACAGGTGTACATAAAGTGACTGCAGGTGAGTATAAAGACAGTATAAAGACAATCAGTCCACTAAGAAATAATTTAAAAAGCCATTCTTGAAATATTAATGGAGTTTTTGCATTTCATCATGTTAAAAATGATACCAATTGCAACATTCCCCTGACACCAGCAACCATTAGCTACTCTACGCAACTAAACTGGGCTAATTAATGCCTACAAAGCAGCAGAGTTACAGTCAGTGGTAGACAAAATGTTTTACAGATAATAAAGGAGATACATTTCTCTAAATGTCAGCAAATTCTGCATGTGAATATCAAAGAGTAAACAGAGAAACTAAAGCTAAAAGTGTGGCATCAGTGAATTACAATAACAAATGACGCTAACATTGTGGAGTACTAAGAAATAGCCAGTAATTTGGCCTCCACAGGCTTAAAATCTCAAGAATCAAGTGTCTATGAAGTTGTCTTTCCTGTGTTGCCCAGCAATGGCCATTACTGGTGTGCTGTGTGCTGTAACAACTGCAGCAGACAATTGTGGTTAGCCAAAAAGACAAGAATGAGTTATTTACGCTACATTTTGCTGACAGTGTAGTTTTAAACTCATGAGACATCTTGCAATATGCTTTTATGATCGCTGCATGCAGACACATTGTTAAGCCACACACTTTTACAGTTTCACATTCATCTCACACACACAGTGTGATGCCATAACCAGAAATAGCACTGGGATGGCTGCTGTCCCCGTGGCTATTAATACTCAGCTTTTCTGAGGTCATTGGCAACACACGTTGCTCTGCCCAACTCTCACTCTCTCTCGCTCGCTTTATGCCCATATTCTTGCTTGTTCCATAACATCCTTCAAGAGTCAGACTTGATTCTGGGCAGGGGAAAAAGGCTAAATCAGAGTAATGAGCAAATATTTCAAAATGCTGGGTTACTCCTGTGGTTTGTGAGACTGGCCCTTAGGTGGGCAGTTACACCTTGTGGGAGTGCGTGTGAATGTGTGTGGTCTGGAAAAGAAAAGGATTGCATAACTGGATTTAAGCTTGGGCTGAGAAATGACTGCAGCTGGGCCTCCTCAGTGGCTGTAGGTCACACTGATATTCAAAGAGGAAAGCCCTCTGGCATTAGTCAAGGCTTTGATTATGCAGGCTAAGTGACCGGGACACAAGAGTAGGAGTGTGTCTTTCAGTTACTGAAAGCTTTTTAATAACTTGAATGAAAAACTACTACTCATCATTTTGGAAAAAAACATCTAAACCACATTTTAAATGTTAGTAATCTCATAGGAAAAACTTATCCAAGTACAACAGCCAATACTGTACCCAAAGTGTTTAGTAGTTATGGTACTTACCTCAAAGGTCTACAAAGCACTTTAAGATTGCAGATTGTTAAGGTGCCGATCATTTGAGCCATAATATACTGTATTAATGCATTATATACTGTTTATTGATGTGTATAAAACCAATATCTTAAGCTTTGTAGTGGAGTAAAGCCAAATATTTCTCTTGAAGTGGAGAGAGGCGCAAAGAAGCTTAAAATGAATTTACCTTATACTTGTGCTCATTTATTCTCTATCTTCTTTCCTCATTTCTCTTTATGTTTATCCATCACATGAGATCTTCATCTCTTCTTCTTTGTCAAGTTCGTTAGTGACAGACATGAAGGTAAAACCCACTTTACGTGCTTTTTTCTTTACAATAAAATGACGCAGTGGAAATTCGCCCACAATTTGTTTTATTTTGAAACGCCCGAAAGGAAATGGTTTTTTTCCGACCCCACGGTGACTTGACCGACTTCGTCCTGCTCTCCACTGTGGATTTACATACCCTGATTTCCGTGGGACTGGGAAGAGAAGGGGGAGGGCGGTGAGCCTTTCAGGAACTGAGGAAGCAGGCGCAAACGGCATAACTTAACAAATTAACAACTTGTGTGCTCGCCGTCGCTTCTGTGGCGCCTCCTGCCTTCTGTCGGAATAACGGCTGCTTTTCTGCTCTTCTGGCTCTCTTCGCTTCTCTCGCTGGATCATTTTCCTATACTGGAGGAGGGCTGGGAGTTTTTTCGGAGGAGACGGGAAGCAGCTTGAGTTTAACCCGGTTGGAAGGGCTGTGGCCATGGCCGGGGGTGGTGGTGGCGGCGGCAGTGGGGCTTCTCCGTTGGGCCACGCACCGCCGATGTGGTATCACCGGGACCTGAGTCGAGCGGCGGCCGAGGAGCTGCTTGCCCGAGCCGGTAGAGACGGGAGCTTCCTGGTGCGGGACAGTGAGAGTGTCAACGGGGCTTACGCTTTGTGTGTACTGTAAGTAACTTCGTCGGCCTCGTTGTGCTTTGTTTACCTTGGCTTTAGCTAGCACACATGACCAAAAGGGGTCATGGTGTGTTCTCTGTAATTCTGCAAACTTTATAAACTCCTCTCTTTCTGTTTTTTTACTCCATCATTAACTTTTCTGCAGTAGACGCGATCAAACTGTAGCTGAAGTGTGCCTAGCAAAGCGTTAAGTTGTTTGTTTACTTTCTTCTGGAAGCCAAAGACAGGGATAGAGAGACTGCCTGTCTGCCCTGCAGTGAAACCCCAGCATGGCACACAACTTTAGGGCTGTCCCTGTCTGTCTTGTGTCTGATGTGGTCGCCTGCAGCGCCCTTTTTACAGGACTCTGCTGCAATCAGCCTGCGGGCTGTGAGCAGTGGCATTAAACTGAATGGTCGTGGAGGTAAATATAAGCATGCATGGGCTGGTGAAGCTTTGCTTTAATTTGAGGTCGGAGATGTGGTGAAAGAATGGGCCTATCCGAGGAGCTGTACATAATATAGTATATCATGAAATGACACAATATCAAAGGACAGTTAAGAGCGTCTGTACTTAGAGGGAGTTAGGGCAGCCACCTTGTTAAATAAATGACGAAAGACTGCCCATTCATTACACAATGGGGACTTTTCCACCAAACACCTACATGTGTAACAGTAACACAACAGTGCATTCACCTGAGAAACTGATGCAGGCAATGTTAAATGAACCATGGCAAAGGGGTGTTTAACTACAAATGACTAAAAGGACTTACAGCCACACACATAGAATACACACTGTTCAGGTTCAGAGAAATATCAGGCCCCTGACATTCACTTCACCTACATCCCCTATCTGATAAGTTTACCCCATGCTGAATCCCTGGGTGTGTAGTTTTTACACATGTAGTATACAGCTCATATACATCACCTGCTGATGGACTGCAAAAGAATTGAAACAGTGAGCTTGTTCAATCCACAAAAATTTGAACACTAACTTCTTTTAAAGTAAGCAAGTCAAATAATCACAGCTTATGGTGCTTCCTCTGTGATGTCAACCAAAAATATCAAATATCTTTTTGGGCTTTTGGAAAGTGCAGCTAATATAATGCAATATTTTTTTTGTTATGTAAACTGATTGCTGCTATGGTCATGCGTTCTCACATCTGTTTTAAAAGCGTATAGTAGGTCAGATATGTCACCGCTAATTGTGCTCGTCATTCAGTGGGTCACTCTGTGACCGACAGCATTCCTCGCATCCATGCATCATTAGTTTCCGGATTTATTAGTGCCTCCACCTCTCCCTTCCTCTCCCCTTTCACCTTTCACAGTACTGACTTTGTTTCATCTCCGAAACGAAAAACAACTTCCAGGCAAATTACAGACAAACAATGCGAATGTTGTTTTTAAATCCAGAAGTTTTGGTTTCACATACACAAAAATAAGATGACAGAGTTTCACAGTTTACCGTACCGTTGAGACAAATGACAGCTACTGCAAGAATTGGCACTAACACGAACAGAAACTGCTATAATCTTCAAAGATGAACTTTTCATTGTTGACATTGTACGCCCGTCGTTTCCCACGTTGGCTGTAATTAAAGCAAGTGGTAAGTCAGAGGGTTTTTTCCAGCTTAGAGGAAGGCCTTTGACGGATGACTATCCGAGAATAAAAATTCCTTGTATTTGAATACAATGACTCACATGAGCAACAAAAAAAAAGAGAAGTAATTTGATTCTGAGTGCAAATCGGGAATGTCAGAAGCAGTTTGACAAAATGTACACATATCTTTTCAATAATTACGCTTACCTAGTGGCGTGTGTGACAGTTGTTGCGATTCATTGCTTGCCAAGAAACCCAAGCTTGAGCATTAATTATGTGCCTATATTACCCACAAACAAGAAGATGAATGTGCAATTTAAAATAAAGGTGGAGCATATTTGCTGTAAAGCATTTTCTCTGTGAATGTTATTGTGAGTGCGAATCGCACTGATTAATTGAACATTATTTGCAAAGCACCCTTGTAGGCCACTCACAGAGATGAACCAGTGCTGCTAGGAAAACCAGAAAGAAGTGGCTCACTTCTCGAGAACACGGATGACTTGGTGTTTCCCAGTAATGCCTCCAGCTAAAGAGAAAACGATTCGATGGTCAGACAAGACATTTATTTGTCGCCTTTGTCAAGTTTTGCACTCGCTGCTGTGTAAACCAGCGTTTCTAGGAAGTAAAATGTGAATCAGCAGATGTGTGGAAAGGTTTAACCATCGAACGGCACACTTTTTTTTTGTCACAGGGCCAGCGTGCCACTTTGGATGCTCAGAGGGCTGATGTGAGTGAAGCACATCCACTCAATGTTTTCTTTATCTCACATTCACCTGATCACTATACCCCCCACTTAATCCACTGAAATGGTGCTTTTAATTCTATTATACAGAATTAAAAATAAAGTCCAATGAGTACGAATGTGACTTCTTTCAGTGGAATATACAGTGGACACCCACGAAATGCACAAACCAAGGATTTGTTTGTTTTTTTACCTGACAAGTCTTTTCAAAGTTGGACGTGTAACTTATAGACAGGGACACACACACTTCCTTTTTGAGGTCTTAGGAGACCCTGGTGCATTTAGGAAGTGTTTCCACTTGTTTCGACTGGCTGACTCTTGATACTTTCGTTAGCCAAGCATTAGCCTTTCACTTCCTCTTATAGTGACTTTGGATTTTGTGTGTCTGCATGCAAGTTTAATACTCGTGTTTAGTATTTGTGAGCTATGAATGTTTTAATTTGCGTGGATGCAGTACGAGTCCAATGTAGCATGTTAAAGCTCTCAATGATTAGCACACAGTTCTGTAACATCATTGGCTTACACATTTTAAGACTCTGTATAAGACGGGAAAGGTGCCGGCAGTGAGATGAGCTTATATGCTAATAGTTTTGAGTGTATGCTAGTCCCTGTCTCTCAGCTGTTTTCTGTTTTTGCTGTCAGGAATACGGTCGTTACTATCAGTTTAACACGTCTTAACTTGCCAGGGTTCAGGATGCCTCTGTGTAACTGTGTGTATGTGTGTGTGTGTGTGCATTTCAAACGTACAAGTTTGTGTGCAGACATTCCTCATGTAGAAAGTGTGTTTTGCTCTTTGTAGAGTTTTCAAATTCTCCTTTTTTTTTCTAAACTTCTTTCCAGTACACAGAGAATCCCTTCCCATTTAGTCTGATATTGTCTATCTAAGTAATTTGAAACAATATCTGCTGTCTGCTTACTGTCCTTATGTCAGTTGTCATTGAGTGAAAAATCCCTCTGAAAGAGACTCGTTTCTCCTTAACCACATCTTCTTCTTTTATAAAATGTATTTAGCTTGTCAGTTTCTTCAGAAAACAAGACTCAAGTTCACTTTCACATGTATTTTCTGTTTTGCTATGGTAATCAGTTTGTACTTGATGTTGATTGCCAAATGAACTGTCATTACTATTACTACCAACTATGGCTACGCACATTCATCTATCCATTAATTTTCTTCTGCTTAGTCAGTTAAAGTAAAGTGTGGGTGCCGAATCCCAGCTGACATGCGGCGAGAGATGGGGCATACCCCAGTCTTTAACATTGGTGTCACAGAGACATTCATACCTACAGGTAGCCTAACATGCATGTCTTTGTGGACTTGCAACTGCGTTTGCCTCAAGCCGCTTTATGCTGTAAGGTAGTGACCCTAGAATAATAGCAGGAAAACCCCAACAATCATACGGCATCCTTTGAGTGAGCACTTGGCAACAGTGGAAAGGAAAGGAGATGGTCTGCCTCAGACACTTCTCAGGAGAGAAGCCTCCTTTAGCCTAATTCTGCCAGAAGTCTCTTCCTGTTAAAAGCGAGTTTTTCTTTTCCACTATTGATTAGTGCTCACTCATAGGCGGTCCTCTGATTGTTGGGTTTCTCTCTCAATCCCGTAGGCTCTTCACCTTACACTGTAAAGTGCTTTGAAGTGGCTGTTGTGAATTGGTGCTATATAAATAAAACAGAATTGAATTGAATGTTTCCCTCTCGCTAGCTGTGAATTGACCGCAGTATTACTTCCACTTTTCTCACATGGGGGCAACTGGACATGACACAGACTTTCCAGTAGCTAGCTGGCAAGTTAAAGGCTATTCAGTGTCCTAAGTGAATGAGTGGGACATTCGCATTCTCACATACGTCTCTGTTTGGTAGTTCAGGGCTGCGGTGCATGAATGGGTATTAATTATGTATTTAGCGGTCACGTGATCAGACAGAAGAGACTGAGGCTAAACCCTAAATCTAAATTCATTGCTCTTCTAAATCCAGAAGAGCGATGGTAATTTCCCAAATTGGCTGCAGCAACATGCCTGCCAAATACATGAAGGGGGGAAAAAAGCAGTATGCATATATCTATTGTTTGTGCTCATACCAAATATTTCTATGCAGATTTTTTTTTTCTGCTAATCACATGCTCCATGAAGTGTCTTAATCAAAAACCACGTCTCCATAGTGCTATTGTTAGCAATACAGTGATAGCAGGAAATGAATCGTCAGTGTAAGTCACACTGTAGTGCAGTAATACACACAGTATTTACTGTGCTTGTTCAGGAATGGCCTCTTGCATTTTTGGTAGTACGTGACGACAAGGACGGAGAAGGCTGTAAGGAGTAATCTTAGCTTTTGATTGTTGTATTTCAAGGAAAACCTAGTTGGGTTTTGCCAAGATAGGCTTCTGTTTGAGCTTTGAAGACAGATTCACGCTGTGTATATTCTTAGAAGAGGTTTCCCTCTAAACTAACAGAACAGAGTGAGCCAGTAGGGTAGTCCTTATCCTTTCACACAGGCCATTGTTGACAACACTCATAAGCTGTATACTGTGAGCCTATCTCTGGCCCACGACAAACCTCACTCTCTTTCTCTGACCCCCTTCCCCTCTGTTAACTTTACGGCCGTTGAAACAATAGTATTTACTTCACAGACCTGCAGAGAATCTCATCAGCTGCCAACAGGAAAACAAACACACAGAGGCACACAAACACATTGTACACCGCAGTGACGCTTGCGTATGGATTTTGTGCCACTCGGTCTTCATGCTATTGTGTTTAAAATGTGACAGGATTGAATGTGGGTTTGATTTTAGAGGAACAAATATTTATCTGGTCCCGTTAGTTTGAGCTGATATGGAGCTATTATTTGCAACAATTTGCAAAACAATGCGCTGTTTATGAATTCGGTCAACGTGGGAACTTGTGCTCGGTTCAACATTTTGCTCCTTTTCAGCGCCTAAATTTAAAATTTTTTGGATATTACTAGAGTAGCTTTGCATTTTTACGCTTGTGTGTAAAATAATCTTTTTTTACTAAAGTCTATCTTAAATGGAGTGTTTATATTATTTTTTATTTTTTGACCAGGAAGTGAAGTGAGATAAAGAATCTCTTTTACGAGAGCTTCCTGCTCCGTGATAAGCAGCGTTAACCTAGTTTTTTTTGTTTTTGTTTTTATAAACGGGAGAATATGAGTGTCCTAGTAAACGCCTGCACAAGCATGAAATCATGCAAAATCCACACAGGACAGTCCTGCCAGGTTCAAACCAGGACTCTCTTGTTGTGAGACAAAAGTTAAATCGCTTATTTAACAACCAAGTCCAGAGGTTTAAAATAATAGTGATTTTTGCAAGTGCAAATCAAAAATCATTAGTTAATTCTGCAGCATGACAATGATGAAGCTCCCAAAATGTTTTTTTTTTTTAAGATGCCATTAAAAGTTCAATACAGGCCCAATCATTTTCCTACAAATGCTATTTAATAACCAAGTTAAACATCCAACAGCTCAAGCAGACTGTGACTCTCGTTGGGATCTGGTCATGATCAAAACCATTTGCATGGTGGTCTGAGAGGAATGTGAGAAGCATCACCAAACAAAAAGTTTAGTTTTTAACTTTCTTATACATTGTTGTTGAGATCATTTTATATTTTATTCCAGTCCGTGTTTTAGCTCCTGCAGCACACTGACCTGGAAAAGCCGGAAAAGCAGCTGGGTTTTGAATTCCCAACATGGATTTATCCCTCCCTCCATTTATACACACACAGGCATACTGTAAATAAGCGTGGTGTTGAAGCAGAAGTTTTAAAAAAAAAGACTTTGGTGTTAGGCTGGAAACTTCGAAACTTCTGAACTGAGAACACCAATGAATCAAAAACCACAATGTTTGCTTGGCAAATCAAAAATTTTGCGGTCGGTCCACTGGACCGGCAGAAGCACAGGCATGAAAATCATTAAGCTTTAGCTTGTGGCTGTGGGCGTGTAGTCACGCCTGGGCCAGCCGCAGTGTCAGAACATTGATCTGTGATTGGTCGATGGGGGAGAAAAAGGAGCCTGAGGTTCAGTCAAATCAGTCTGATTTGCAGTGGTTTAATGCAACAGAGGCGTACTTTCATTTATCATTTAGATTCTGACGTCTACTCCATTTTAGTTTTGTTTTTAACTGTTGTCAATACTTTATGATGTACAAACACTCAGCTCTGCTTTACTGTACCGTGCTACTGTAAGTATAAAGCATGCTCACTGTGACAGACAGCAACAGGTTTAAGCTACGCCGTCTAAACCCTCCTCACTCCCATGCATACAATCACACATGCTGTCCACTAAGGTCGAGTACAGTGGTGTGTGTGTGTGTGTGTGTGTGTGTGTGTGTGTGTGTGTGTGTGTGAACTGATTTGAATAAAGATATTCAAATTTACGTAGAGTCATAAAAAATAGAAAAAATTCTCTGTACTTCTGCGTCCACCTGTGTTTTATTTCCACTTCATTTGCTGCCACTTTCTGCCCTTGTCCTCTCTTTGATTCAGCTCCCCTGACTTCTTTTTACTCTCTCTTTCTTTGCCTGTAGGTTTCAGAAGCACGTCCACACATACAGGATATTACCAGATGACGAAGGTTTTCTGGCAGTGCAGGTACAGTAAAGACACTCTCACACTCGTGCTTTCAGCAGCAGCTGGCAGGCAGAGATGCTTTCGTTGGCTCTGAGCTCCCTCTCTTACACACACACACCAACAGCAGGGTCTTTGTGCCTTGTGCTCAACAGCTGTGAATACCAGCTACCAGCAACCTCACACACGCGAAACACAACACAGGGCTTCGAATCATGTGGCCACAGCACAGCTGTCTTGTCTCACTGCTGTATGAGTTTTGGGGTCTTCAGCTGTGACGCTGAAAAGTCTCATTTTAATTTATCCGATTGAGTTTGTGGCTTCTTCCTGGTTTGAATTATATTTAGCCTACAGGGCTGCAATTGCTTACAAAACATTCATTGTGGAACAATGGAGGCTACCAGAAGGTTGGGCAATGTGACTTCTTGTAGCCACGGTGTTTGGATGAACTTAATGCATCTGTCTCTTGTTTCCCTTCCTTCCTCGCGCTCTCAGACCTCTCAGGGCGTGCAGCCTAAGCGGTTTAAGACTCTGCCAGAGCTGGTGTCATTGTACCTGCAGCCCAGCCAGGGTCTGGTCACCACCCTGCTTTACCCCGTGGAGAGAGAGGAGACAGCTGTCAGTGACGATAGGGACTATTCCGGTAATTTCAGAGCTAACGCAAACACACATGCCCAGATGGGGTGTCCTCGTCATCGCATGTTAACCGTGACGTTCTGTGTACTTCTGACTGGTAGATGGAGAGGATGAGAAGCCGCCCCTCCCCCCTCGCTCTTCCTCCACCTCCACTCCCCCTGGACCAGACACACCCACAGACAGGTACAAAGTCCACAGAGAGAAACATCTGATTGTGTCCTGTTTATAACTGTAGGGAGCTTAATCACAAACTACCTGCAACCACCAACCGCGTCACTCGGAAGTCACGGAAGTCACACAGGGGAAGTATGTCGCTTCATTGTGAATTATGTCACAGACGTATTGAAAATCACATAATCTCACACATGCTCACAAAAATAATAAGGAAGCGTTATTATGGTGATATGAACACACACGTTACTCAGTGACTTTGTTTGTTCCAGTTTATATGGCTACACACGCACGCGCACACAGATTATCAACTATTAAAAGCACTCGTTCACACAACTTCATGCACGCTCATTAACACACCTCTCTGTCTGCATTAAGAAGGTAAACCACATCCTGCTAGAAACCACGGCGTTCACGGATGGTGTGCGGCTTTGATGAGGTGCGGGCTCTAGTTGTCGGGCGCACACAGACGCGTACATTTCAAATCCCTGTCAGTTAATAATACTACTAATAAATTTTTGACATTTCCCTTATGTGATAAATAAATACACTTTTACAGTTTTTTCAGTGGGAACCAAACCACTTCACACAACAGTTGGTGAAGTAACAGAAACTTATGCATTACCTAACCTTGGTTAAAGTGTCAGCCAGTGAAACAATATCTTCCTTTCAGTTCTTTTAGTTGTTCTCTCTCGAGCTGCCATAGAAGGAAATCAACAATGCAAAATGAGCATAAAATGCATTACAGTTTAGAGGAAGTAAAGGGAGCACACATGCATGTCCTTTAAAAATCCTCAGGGACTTTGCGTGGTACAGCAAAATATAGCTTACATGGAAGCCATGGTGTGGATCGTATGAAAGGGTTGTAAATGCTGAAAATTAGTCTGTAAAAGGTGTTTTATTTTTTATAGGTTGGCCCTTTGCCAGTTCACGTGGTCCAGGGTGTCCATGAGTGTTCAGGCGGGCATAATTTAGCTCAGAGGAAGTATGTGACTCTTTAAAAAAAACAAAAAAAAAAACAAAGTCGCGACTACACAGATGCCAACTCTCTCGCCGACGGGCGCACACACTCATCCTACTTCTGGCAAACTGTGACGTCCATCTTTATTTTCCTTTCCAAGGGGTGTGGAGCATCTGCAGATTTAGCAACTATTCTTTTTTTTTAAGTATCACCTGGAACTTTAAATAACTCCGTGTGACTTCTAGCAGTAAATGCATCAATGTAATACTACAGAGCAAATAAACAAAATCAAGAAATATGGCAGACAGAAAACTGAATGGTAAAAAGCTCTAAGTAGGCCCCAAAATGTTTTCATGCTTATGTCATGCCTTTACAGAATTACTATGGTGCAACTTTGCCCAAGGCAGTGGAGAACACGTGTGTATAAAATGTGTAGCCCATCGTCAAAGCTGCAGTAGGTGTTAATTTATAAAAGACAAAATGTGGAAATTTACAGGCCCGTCCTGAAGCTCTCCCTTCTACCCACAGGTATAGATAGAAATAAGTAATTCTTGGCCTTTGTTCCACTGCAGCTTGCGTCCTACATTGGTTTCCTGTTTGTATTACTGTTCTTTCACCGCTACTTTATACCTCTCACCTAATCTGTTGTTTAAAAAAAAACAGAAAATGAAGCTAGAGAAGGGCGATGCGACCAAAAATATTTATCACGATATATAATTGACACGAGACAAATTACTTTACAACTCCACAACTTTATTAGTGCAAAAAACCCCATCAATGTATTTTCACTTAAACAAGCAGCTTTTATGTGCATTAAAGTTATATAAAAATGTAACAGTGCAAATGCAAATTCTTTGCTAACAATTTAAGCAAAAGGCATTTCCAGTGGAAATTGGCCGACATATCCTCAGCATAACCATGTATAATATCCACAAAACTTAAAAAAAGGTTATACACACACAATACGGTAATGTTATGTTGAAGCACAGTACGTATCACTCCACCAGGCTCCTGCCTACGATAGCCGTAATGCTCCGAAAATCCATCAAATCAATCAATCAGCTTAGCAAAGTCGTACTAAAACATTTGACAGATTTTCGAGCGCCGTGCACATAAAATCGTTTCGAGGTCAGTAAACACAACCAGAATTCATACATAAGGCACACAGGATTATAAGGGGCGCTGTCGATTTTCAGAAAAATCAAAGGATTGATTTTAAGTGTGCCGTATTTTCCAAAAAACAAGGTAATAACGGCGGCCCGCTAGCACGTTCTACCAAAAATAGTGCTTTGTTGTGTATCTGACAGATGAAAGCCAAACCAGTTCCAGACCACTGAAGTTGCAGCATTTTTACAAACCAGTTCTGGTTCATCTATTTCATTTAACGATCCGCTTTCGCCCTTCTCATTCTGCGTCGTCGCCATGCTTTTTACGCCATGTGCGTATAAAAACAAAGGCACTGCGCATGTGCGTTTTACCCATATTCTAACGCGATATTTCATTTTCTTATCGTTGCCCAACGTTATACCGGTATTACCGTGAACGGTATGATATGACCCAGCCCTAAATGGAGCCCAGAGGAGACACATCAAAGAGTCTAGTTTTCTCTCAATCACTTTAAATAAACGCCACTAAAACTTTTTTATTTTGTTTTTTTTTCCCTGAACACACCAAAACCATCTGTGCCTTCCTGGACTTTAAATCACTAATGCATCGTTATTATTTGAAGCCTCCTTGTATTCTCATACACATACCAGCATTTGGAAATGATGTTCATGTGGTGGTTATAAATGGTTTCTTTGAATATGTTTTAGTACTCCAGCAGCTAATGGCCTGAGCACCATCTCCCACGAGTATCTGAAGGGCAGCTACGCTTTGGACCTTGAAGCAGTCAAACAGGGGGCCTCATCCCTGCCTCATCTCAACAAGACACTAGTGGCCTCCTGCAAACGCCTTAATGGGTAAGCAGCAGCACATCTGCACATGTGCAATATTTTAGAAAGCTGTCAAAACGAATTTAAAACTGCAAATCATACTGGTATTTAATAGGCAAGTAACACACTGAATTCCCTTTTTATACCCAAATTTGAGCACAGAGACCTGAAAAAGTCAGAAATTAATCAAATATAAGATTGTAAAAAAACACTGTTATCTGTAATTTGGCATTAAAAATAATAATGCACTTAATAGCTGTTCCTCTTTTTGTTTTGTTTTGCATTTTGTTATTTAAAAATATCATTATAATTAAAGAGCTTGTACAGACTGGTGGGTTGTGCATTAAAAGACACTCAAAAATGATTTTGGTGATTATGAGTATAATTAATTTAGGGCATCTGTGGCATAAACCTTACATTAGTGGTGGTCTAATAAACTTGTGAAGCATTGTATATTATGTAGTGTTATATTCTGTCGGTTTCCTGATTGACTGACTGCCAAAGATTCACACCTCTCGGCCCACAGAGCTATCTGCTTCCTTAAATCAGCTCTAGGGGGTTTTTTTGGGTTTTTTTGCACGTTTAAACACTGTGATGATCTGCAGGAAATCAGCTTGATTTCAGAAATGTTACTGTATGAAGACATAAGTGCAGAAAGAAGCTGTGAGGTAAATATGTGAATCTCTCTCTGCTCCCTCAAATAGAGAGGTGGATAAAGTTCTGTCAGGCCTGGAGATCCTGTCTAAAGTGTTTGATCAGCAAAGCGCTTTCATGGTCTCCAAAATGATCCAACAGGTACAGGTACTCTTCGCTTTTTTTAAAAGTGTGTGGTTGTGTGTGTCTTTGTTTGCGCAATGGCAGAATCTTACCCTCCTTTTTATTATCCTATATCCCATAACAAACTGTTACACGCGGTGATTTTATTATTTTTTCCCTTACTTTATCACACACATGTAAAAGCCTTGGTAACTTCTTAACACTTAACAGTGTTGTTATTAAAGCCCTTCTTCCAGATCATAGCTAAAATTATTATATTTGCCAACCCGTAAAGTTGAGGATTGCTCGCTTGTGGTGGGCTTTACGCTTCGTTTCAGAGAAGATAGAGTGTGAGTCATGATGTCCTTTAAATATCCCCGTAGCGCTCCTGCTAGAAACTTGGTATTAAGGAAAGCTTCTGTATACAGAACAGGCAAATAAAATATATAATCTGATTTTGCATGCATGTGTTATTCTTTGTAATTAAAAACATTTTCGTGTGGTTGGACAGAGAGTAGAGCCGATTAGTGGCCCAGCAAAATTCTTGATTTGAAGTTCAGGAGTCACTTTAGTCATCAAGCAAGGACTGACAATGAGTTTGACTAAAATTTGAATAAAAACCGATTTTAGGCTGGTTTAGACTGAATAGCCTTAAGACTGCTCTGTATATAAGTAAGTGTGTTTGCTGTGCAGTTTTAAGGCTGCTCTTTTTACATGCACTCTTTTTGCGGATTACATGGACTCTAATGGGGTTTTTTTGTCTCCATCAGTCAGTGAATCAGGGTGGAGACCAGGAACTGGAGAACCTTGTGACCAAGTTGGCGATTCTCAAAGACCTGCTGTCCTCCATAGAAAAGAAGGTACGCACAGACGGCACATTTAACAGCTGTGATGGACAACATGGTGGCTATTGTTTTCACTTTGTGAGTCATCAGGAAAAAATGTGGTACAGTAGCAGGATCTGCCACGGCTCTGAGTCCTCTGACAGGTGTTTCTGCAATCTGTAAACAAAAGCTTGTCAGCACAGTAGAGTTCAGTGGTGCCAGATGAAGTCATGAAACTTTATTGCTTTGTAGTTGAGATTAGAGTAAAAAATCTAAATGAAAAAGTGAGCATCGAGTGTGAAGATTGGTGTGCTCTCACCTTACTTTCTATTTTCTCTATGTACTTAGTCTAGTAGTTTGGAGATGGTTTGTTTAGATAACCCTCTCCATATGATGGATCATCTGTCTAGAAGCCCTGCAGGGTGTGCTTGTAGCGCAACACGTGACGTTCTCTCCTTTTGAGGCTTTTACATACAGCACATATAAACCACGCAGAAGGAAAGAGACAGGGTTGGGATATCGCTCGACTTCCCTTTAGAAGCCCTACAAGTCAGCAAAGACCTGATGTGTCAATGAGAGTCTGAGACTTTACAAGTAGAAAAGTGGACCCAATACGCTCATGTTCAGGTTACTGTTTTTATTCTTGGAGTCGGCTAGAGTAACTGTCCATGATTCACAGTTCAGAATAACCCTTATTTATATTACAAACACAAGGTTTGAGACTCGTTTTAAGGATGATGCCTTCGTTTCACATTATAAAGAGCCAGAAGAGAATAATAATAATAATAATAATAATAATAATAATAATAATAATAATAATAATAAATTAAATCTCCTGTTTACAAGGTTTACTGTGTTCTACTTTGTTCTACTTTGTCACTTGAGAGGGGGGGGGCTTTCACTGGCTCGGGAGGAAATGGCCTCAATGTAGTAAGGCTACATGTCCAGACGATGATACTGGTTCCACCTTCCCTGCTCCTGTTAGATCACATCCAGGAAATAGGAAACCTTTTCCTTGCTGACACAAACCCTGAAACTCAAAATGTTACAGTTTTTATTTTATTTTTTTTTTCTGTACCTTATTCTTATCCTCCAACTCTCTTTTTATTCTGTTCTTTAAATTAATTGTTTCTCCACCTGCGTGTTTGCCTCTTTCTGATACCCCTCAGGCCCTGAAAGCTCTACAGGACATGAGTTTGACCTCTCCATGCTCCCCCCCTCCTCTGCACTCCATGCGTCACAGCAAATCCATTCCTGTGCAGGCCTTCGAGGTATGCACCGACATTCACCAAACATGCACGCCTACATACTGTACTTCATTACTGGCTGTCTCACTGCAATGTGATGTAGGTCAATATCATGGCAAATGAAATTAAGTATTGCCCTTAAAGTCAAATTGCTCTGTGGACATTAAAGCTCCCTTCTGCCAATTTGGGTAAGCATCTTTTTAAGCAATCTTTTTTTTCTTTCTTTTTTTGTATGTAGAAAACCCTGAGATTTATTTTCTGTATTTAATTTCTGAAATGTTATTGTCAGGCAGTGGTATTTAATATGACAGATGGCATAAACTGAAGTAAAATAGGCTAAAAAGTCATGCATTTCTCAGCACAGGAATTTTAGCAGCAGATGTGATGTGAGGCCAAAAGAATGTTTTTGAAATGCATTTCCAGCTTACGTCATCACTGTCGCAGCATTTTATCACATTTCCTTGTAAAAGCATGAATTTAAGTGAGGCAGTTTTGATGTGCTGTGTATAAGACTGTAATAGTTTTATTATGAAAAGTACCAGCTGCATGGAGTGCAAATGTTAATGCTGAAGGAAGACTGAGAAAAGGAAAAAAAGGAACACGTTAAGATGATATAAATGGCTTTCACTTTGAGAAAAGTGGTGAACTAAGTGTGAAAAGGGTAGAAGGAAAAAATGTCAGGGAGGACGTGGGGGAAGGAGGTGACACACAGAGTTGAGAGATGAGTCGAGAGATGCTTGATTGAAATATTGGCTGTTGGCTAAGCCTGCGTTCTCTGTGGCGACATCCTTTCAGTAGTTTCCTGTTGCACACAAGTGCTACGCTAAGGAGATGCGGCGTCTGATCTGCCTTGTGACACCCAAACACAGAAGCACTCAGTGACTCAGAGTAAGAGTGAGTGTACGCCATCTGTTTAAACTTTTTTCCAGTCTTGCGGTTCTTAGTAAGACCTATACATCAAAAAAAATGCGTGTGCGAAGAAGCTGGTGTGTTGCTAAAGGAGGTTGGCAGTTTGGTGGCCGTCTTTCTCAGTTCCTCCAGTCTGTCTGCTGAAGTGTCCTTGGGCATTACACTGATCCTCAAATTGCCCCAGATAACTGATGTGTGAAAGAAAGTTTCTCTATGAATAGAATCAGATCATTTCTCTTTGTGGATATGAATCTAAAACCAGAATTTGGATATTTACTATGATCATCAACATTTTATTCATGCGTTTTCTCATCTTCGAGGCTGCGTATGACTAAAGTAGATCTAATACTGCTCTGTGCTTCGTTTTAGAGACCCCTGGTGGAGGGTAGATTATCTCAGTAGACACATAGGGTTTACAGAAGCATGCTCAGTATGCGTTTAAGTGAGTTTAAACTTTCTCCTGTGGCTCATTGCAGGTGAAGCTCGACGTTTACCTGGCGGAGCTGACGAAGATCGGAAAGAGTCAGAAGTACACGCTGTCTGTGGACGTAGAGGGAGGAAGGCTGGTAGTAATGAAGAAGGTGAAGGACAATCAAGAGGACTGGATCACCTACACACATGACAAAAGTAAGGATTGGGGCACCATTCACACAGAAAAAAGTATGTCCATTATAGGATTTTAATCTCGCCATCCAACTTGAACCTTCTTTAACCCTCCAAATCTGTTACATGACCTTTTTTTCCCTGAATTTATCTGCAACTTCCCATCTCTAACTCGCTGTCCGTTCGCCTCTGTGTCTTTCAGTACGTCAGCTGATCAAGTCTCAGCGGGTGCAGAATAAACTGGGCATTGTGTTTGAGAAGGAGAAGGATAAGAGCCAGAGGAAAGACTTCATCTTTGCTAGTGCCAAGGTCTGCACACAAGAAACAAATGGACACATAAAACTGCTATTTTACAGCTATTCATAGATAACTTACAGTTAACATGCCGCCTTCAAACTGAAGATTTTGCAGTAACATTGCCAGAGTTATTGCACAGGCTTATATGCATTTCTCTGCTATGAATTCAGTCTGCACTGAGACTCTTTGTACAAAATTAAAAACCTGCTGTTAATCAGTGAGGTAATGTTGTCATGTGCACCTGTTTAGCTGTTCGTTAATACAAATATATAATCAGCCAATCATGTGGCAGAAACTCAGAGTATTTATACATGTAGATATGACAATCACAACCTACTGAAGTTCAAAGTGAGCATCAGAGCAAGGTAGAAAGGTGATTTAAGTGAGTTTGAACATGGCATGATTATTGTTGCCAGATCTGGGTGTTTCAGAAACTGATGATCTGCTGGGATTTTCCCCCACGAACCCATCTCTAGGGTTTACAAATAATGGTTTGAAAAAGAGAAGAATAAAGAATTAAGTCAGTTGTGTAAGCAAGAGGGGGTCCAAGCTGGTATTATTAGCAGAGTGTAATCAGTGACGTGGTTGGTAAGTGTATAGAATATAAAGATGTTCAGAGGAACTTCAGAATGACGGCTATCAGTGGCATCATCCGCTCACTGATGTGTGTTTGTGCCAGAAACGGGAGGCGTTCTGCCAGCTGCTGCAGCTGATGAAGAACAAGCATTCCAACCAGGACGAGCCAGACATGATCTCCATCTTCATAGGCACCTGGAATATGGGTTAGTCACACTGAATGACTCGCCTTAATGGCTACAAATACATCTGAAAATGTTCAACGAGAAAGGAAACAGTTTGACCTTTTTCCTGTCGCTTTAGGCTCTGTACCTGCACCCAAAAACGTGGCCTCGTGGGTTTTGTGTCGTGGTCTCGGGAAGACACTGGACGAGATGACCGTCACCATCCCTCATGACCTGTATGTGTTTGGCAGCCAGGAAAATTCAGTGTGCGATCGGGAGTGGGTGGAGTCACTGCGCGCCCTGCTGAAAGAACAGACAGAACTGGATTATAAGCCGGTAAGGAAAGAAAGCCAACTGTTTATGGCTTGATGAATGTGTATGAAGAACATAAGGAGGTGTTGCGGATAACCCTCAGGCGAGTGCTGTTGTTGTACTTGAATGAAAAAAAGTTGATTTTTTTTTTATTATGCAAATGTCATCATGTTTAGAAAAAGACAAATTTCCCACATTAGTTCTTGTCTGATCGTTTTTTCAGAACTGCATTTTTATGTTTGACTAGTATGGGAAAAGAAACATTTTAAAACTTTTGTTTTATTGTAATGCATAGTTATAAAAAAATTCCTGTAAAAAAATACAATAATTTCAAAACCTTAAAAAACAGAGTTATTTTTGAGGTTACACAACTTTCCTTTATCCTCTCCACACTTTAGTTCCTGTAACAAATATAGAGCTAAGTATAGGACTGTCTCTATACAAGCAGAAGTTTTTGCGGTTTGCATAAAAATGACCCTGTTTGAAGGGGAAAAAAACTGAAGACAAGGGGGGGAAAAAGGCTATTTCTGCATGGTGCGAAAACAGAAATGATGACTGTAAGTTCCTCATTGTGTCTCGTTCTCGTCTGCAGATCGCCGTGCAGACTCTGTGGAACATAAAACTTGCTGTGTTGGTGAAACCTGAACACGAGAACCGGATAAGCCACGTTGGGATGTCCAGTGTCAAGACGGGCATCGCCAATACCCTGGGTAACGGCTCTACTCTGTATTCCGTCTTTGCTATTCCTTCCTATGTCTTGCTTCCTGCTTCAAATGTAGGAGGAAATAGCTCTGATTTCCTGTCTTAACAATGGCCTCCTTGAGCAGTGTTCATGACTGAATCACTTGTTAGTTGATTAAAAAATGTGGGACTTGTATTAGTAAGAAAATGTGAATCAAAATCTAAACTTTCACAAAAATCTTGAACTCATAAGAGAAAAAAACACAGATTTCCTTCAGCTCAGCAAACTGGAGCCGTTCATTGTTTCTCATATTTTAATATAAAACTGATCACAGCCAGATCCCCGGTGATCCTTTAAAAGTTTCTGTTAAGTAATGCTTGTAATTGCACCTAATTTGCTGTATTTTGATTTAATGTTTGATTTTATGGTTTCTAGGTAACAAAGGAGCAGTGGGCGTGTCTTTCATGTTCAATGGGACGTCGTTTGGCTTTGTCAACTGTCACTTGACATCAGGGAATGAAAAGATTGCCAGGTGCCCAACACGCTCTTATTTTTATTTTTATTTTTTTTGTTTGTTTTAAGCCTCTCAATATCAACAACAGAGAATTCCTAAAGCAAAAGAAACCACACCCCCTTTTAATTCTAAGGTTTTATATCAGGAAATAATTCAAAAAAATCATCCGGTCCTTAGCACGTCTTAGAACCAGGTAAATACAACCTTAGATGACATGTTACACTCTGATTATTTATTTTAGAACACAGGACAAAATCCCAAACACAGCAGCAAATCTTCAACAGAACAGCTGAAAAAGAGAAGAATGAAGGTGCTGCGATGTCCCAGTCAAAGTCTAGACCTCAACCTAACTTAAATACTGTGGCAGGACCTTAAAGAGATGAGCGTATACGTGTACAATCATACAAACAGAATTACTGCAAGTTCATTGCTGCTAAAATTGGCTCCAATCAATAATGACACTGGGTAATAGTCATAATCTAATAATTCATCATAGTAATTGAAAGAGGCTGTGCTTTCTGTTTGCCATAAGTGTAAACTTGGTTTGGTTTTTCATTATAATTTGGTGAAAGCTTGTTTAAATGTCTTCTTACGTGTGACCTTTGACCTCTGCAGGAGGAACCAGAACTACCTTGATATCCTGCGGCTGCTTTCACTGGGAGACAAACAGCTGAGCTCCTTTGACATTTCGCTGCGCTTCACGCACCTCTTTTGGCTGGGAGACCTTAACTACAGGCTGGATATGGACATACAGGTGAAGCAGAAATAAATACAGGCAGCCTCCAAAACGTGGATGAAACTTTTCTGTCTGACCCTGTTTTTTGTGTGTGTGTTTGTGTGTGCAGGAGATTTTAAACTACATTAACAGGAAGGAGTTTGACCCCCTGCTGAAAGTGGACCAGCTCAACCTGGAGAGAGAGAAGAATAAAGTGTTTTTACGCTTTGGTTAGTGCTGGTTATGAATATCCTCACGAGTCAGAGCAGGATGTGTTTCAGTGTACAGAAATATAACAGTAATACCAGTGAAAAGTCAACACTAACAAAAGACTGCTGTCCTTAAAGCAGAGTTTCAGTGGTCTTATAAACACAACCGAAGGGATGACTCACACTTACCAAAAGCACCTGCTCAGCACTCTTGTTGTTCCCTGAATAGTTCACCATCAGCTCTGGTTTTTCTTTCCAGACTTCAGTGGTTCTTAAACTGTGGGCTGTGCCCTCGTGGTGGGGCACAGAGCCACTGCAGGAGGGGTGTAACCAGGGGGGAGGATGTGTGTTACGTTCCCCTGAGGGGTCTAGGCGGGGAGGGGGAAGTAACAAAAGTGACCGGGTCAGAAAAAGGAGTCAGGGAGGCAAAACAGTTAAATAAAACAGTTTTATTGAAGTAATTCAACTAAAAGAGACGGACAAGCCGTTATCACCATAAAAGAAACAAACAAAAACTCAGGCGTCGGTCAGTAAGGCAAAAAGTCAAAAGGAAAGCGCAGCTCACTAGCTGGAAACCACAATACACAGCTCACTAGCTGGAAACACCACAAGACACTCAGCTCACTAGCTGGGCCCACACAAAATGGCACTCTGGCCCAGAGCTCACCTTTCCCTGGGCTTAAATCTCCTTGATTACTGACGAGAGTCAGCTGCACAAAAGGGAAAGGTGGCACCTCAGGCAGAAGAGGTAGTGTGACACGCCCACACAGGCACCTTCAGGAGGAGGCCCTGCTAGGGCCGTAACAATGTGGAGTTAAACAAAGTTGGATAATTATGATTTTTACTGAGAAAGTGAACCGACGTTGGCTGTTTGCTGACATTTACTACACTGGAATTGAACTTGGACCCTTTTTTAATGTTAATGATTAATCCAAACAATAGAGTGGGTGTGTGGACTTGTTTTATCTTCTGAAGTGAGTAATTCAAGTCATTCACTGCTGAAGCCTTTTTCACTTTTAAACATTATTTAATCTTAACTCAATGCAATGAAGTCTGCACTAACACTGTGATCAGTGTGTGATATCACTGGGATTATTTGTTTTAGTAGGTAACTAAAAATCAGCCGTTGCCCTGCAATGTTGTCCAGTGATCCATGATGCCATGTAATAAATCCTTAAATACCAACCGATTACTGAGAACTTGGTCATGATTGCTAACCCGGGGTCATAAATACTGTGAATCGCACCTGCTGTTATATCAAAATTATAAATATTGTTATGAAATGCTAAACTTCGAACCTTTACTGAAGTGGATGTGTGTCTCTTTGCGTGCAGCGGAGGAAGAAATCTCGTTTCCGCCCACCTACCGTTACGAACGAGGCTCAAGAGATACGTATGTCTGGCAGAAGCAGAAGGCCACAGGGGTACGTTCCCTTTCTTACGTCAGAGCCACCTCTGATAAATTCTTTCTGTTCTTGTGCCTCGTCCTGATAATTCTGCTTTTCCGTCTGTCCCAGATGAGGACTAATGTTCCATCGTGGTGCGACAGGATTCTGTGGAAGTCTTACCCAGAAACACACATAGTCTGCAACTCCTATGGTGAGGATCATCAGAAGAAGAAAACCTTCATAATTTCACCTCATAATGCTAAGTGGACAGAAATTAAAGTTGTTGTTTATTTTTGTTTGTTTGTTTTTTTTGCCAGGCTGTACAGATGATGTTGTGACCAGTGATCATTCCCCTGTATTTGCTACATTTGAGGTGGGCGTGACCTCCCAGTTTGTCTCCAAAAAAGGTACAAATTTAATTTTGTTTCCTGTCTGTCACTTCCTCTACTTCCTGGTCTCACTTTATTTGGCTTTTCTTCCTCCCACAATCTTTTTGGAGTTCATTATTGTTATTATTCATGTTATTTAAGCGCTCCGTGTTCAACAAGTGACATTTAAAAGTGAGTGATTAAATACATGCCTGTCTGCACAACCCACACAGATCTTTCCTCCTCTTTCCATCTTCCTCCTCCTCCCTCCTGTCCACATACTTCTGCACAGGTTTGCCAAAGTCTTCAGAGCAGGCCTACATCGAGTTCGAGAGCATTGAGGCCATAGTAAAGACGGCGAGCAGGACCAAGTTCTTCATTGAGTTTTACTCCACTTGTCTGGAAGGTGACGTGAATGTGATTGCACCTTTGCAGTGACTCTTTCATGCTCATAGACATAAATATAATGAGCAGTCTGACAGAAGGAGTTGCAGTAAAGCAACGTGACCCAGAATGGATGCAATAAAAATGTTTTTGCTTCTTCTTATTTGTATCTTTCTCCCTCCCTCCTGGTCTCAGGCAGTCAGTATTACCTTTAAACTAGAATCCATAAAATCCATTTTTCACCTGTGTTGTGCCCCTGCCACCTGTCCACCATGTACTTTTAAATTAAAATGCAATGGGTACCTGAATCCTCACCCCGCTCTTTTCCACACCGTCTTCCCTTTATCCTCTTCCCCTTCCTCTCGTCCCTGCATCTCTCTCTCTTTGTCTTTCTCTCTGTCTCTAATCCTTAGAGTTTAAGAAGAGTTACGAGAACGACAGTCAGAGCAGCGATAACGTGAACTTCCTGCGCGTGGGCTGGTCCAACAAGCAGTTAACAACACTCAAACCTCTTCTGTCAGAGATCGAGTACCTGCAGGATCAGCATCTCTTGCTAACAGTGAAATCACTGGATGGATACGAGTCCTACGGTATAAAGATTGTCTGTGCTTGTGGTTCTTTGAAGTTTAAAGGGAATCTAGTTTGCTGGAATCTAACAAATCTCCCCCACTCTTTTTAGGCGAGTGCGTGTTGGCTCTGAAGTCGATGATTGGCAGCACAGCACAACAGTTCCACACCTACCTGTCTCACCGTGGGGAGGAAACAGGAAATATCCGAGGGTCAATGAGGGTCAGAGTCCCTTCTGAAAGAATGGGAACCAGGGAGCGATTGTACGGTAATGCATTTTACACCTTAACACCAATTACCTACAAAGAGAGGAGATACTAAATCTCTTTCAAGCTTGCCGCATCCATCACTTGAACAGTTCCTGCCTGCATGTTTTCAAATTTGCAGACAGGAAGTGATGGATCTAGGGTTACAAGCATGTCACGTTTAGTTCTAAAACTGATTTTGTTGCTGTGTTTCAGAGTGGATCAGCGTGGATAAGGATGAGACGAGTGGACCTAAAGGGAAATCTGCTGTGGTATGCAGATCGGGGCATGAGTATGTGAAGTCAGTACACTCTCCTTTTTTTTGCACTTGATTTTTATTTAGAGTTCCCACACGTCAGTGGGGATTTTTCTGTATAGCGTATGTTGATGATGTGCTGGCATGTACCTAAATATCGATGCTTAAATACCTTAAGGGATTGAGTCGTAGCAGTCAGGTCTTTTTGTGAGTTTGTTGATGAATGCGTTTGAACAGCTGAGCCGGGTAACTTCAGGGTTAACCTTGAGTGGGTTTCTTCTTGAGTGGGTGACTTGCACTGATTATAGATCAACAGGTATAAAATCACCACTTGCTGACAGATCTAGTTGCATCACTAATCCTGAAAGAGCTCTCATACCTCTGTGTGCAGATAATAGGATGGTATCAAGATTTGTAATAGTGTCTGAAGTCTGCAGCTGAAAGATTAACAACTAAAACTGTCTCATGCAAATTTGCACCTTATTTTAAAAAACACTCGATTATAACCCATCAGATTCTCCTTAATGATTGAGGCTTTTCTTCCTTCCTTCAAATAGGCTAAACCTCTTTTAAAGCATTACTGGCCATAAGATTTATAGCATGCACACATATCTGGTGCTTTTCCTGATTTATCATATTATAGTTTACTCCTTGCAAAATCAGCCACTCATCTGCTGGTACAATAATCAGTGGGACTGGTCAGATGTTGCCAACATGAACCTTTTCATGTGAATGTGCTGGTACCTAGATCGGGAAACCCTGTGTTTACTTAGACAGTTCGTGTGACCGCTTACCCTAACACTGGCGATCAGGGTGGTGGGGATGTTTTTAGAATCCACAGCAACTCAGACCAGTGACAGAGTTACAGAGCACGTCCCCAAGTGTTGAGGCACAGAGTGCATAAAACACACACTTTGCTGACTCAGAACTCTACACTTCCTCTGGCATTACCATCATGATACAAAATGTGCACCAGGAGCTTCGGTGCATGGGATTCCACACCCGAGCAAATACTGTACGTGCAGTGTGTAGGTGGCCTAGTATTTATTTCTATTTAGATGTATTTATGTGTTATATTGAATATCTGCATTAAAAAAAACACTGATAAAGATGATGCTTGATTATCCTGCACAGTGTGACTTGAGTACGACACAAAACACATTTTAAACCACGTGTTCATGTTTTTGTTTTGTTTACTATAAAATTTGGTCTTTTATGTTTTCTATGAATCTTTATGCAGTCTTCAGAAGTACCGCTACGGCACCTTTAGACAACATTCATTAGTTATTGAACATTAGTTATTAGAAGAGTTTGCCCTCAACAACAAAAGATGGTGTCAACAGACCTCGCACATTTTGATAGTCCGCTGTGTCACACGCTATAACATTGAGTCAGAATGGCAACTAGACACACCTGTAGGGTGCAGTCTCTCCATTTGTACGTTTATCTATTCGAACATCCTGCAAACATCGTGTTAGGAATGTCCTGAAACTGTCGTGACTTCTCTCTTGTCCCGCCTGCTGACTTGTTACGATGTGTTTTGAAAACAGGCCATCTGTGATTCGTAAGCCCCTCGGAGAGCTGGGAAAGGTCAGTGAAGAGGGAGAAAGGAACAGCAAAGAGGAGACCGCTGCAAGGTACTCATGACAGACACTTTCACTTAACACTTAACTATCACGTTAGGTTAGATCGTCTGATGCATTGTTGATGTGTGCAGATGAAAAGAGTTTTTACAACAGTTTCTGTGTTTATAATGAAGACCTAAACAGGACGGATCAGACAGCGATCCATCCATCAGCAAGAACAGCTACAATAATCCTGCCTACTACATCCTGGAGGGCGTTCCCAACCAGTCAGCTGCAGCCGTTTCACCTGAGCTTCTGCCCTCTCCTACCTCAGCCAACCCCCAGGCAGCTAAACCCCCTCCTCCCTCTGCCGGGGCGCGTTCCAAACCCCCCGGCGCAGCCTCGGGGCCCCCTCACCCACGCAGACAGGTTCGTGCCATTAGCGAGGAGAGCTCCTCAGAAGACGATGGAGGTGCTTGTGTTGTTGGGGCACAGGGAGGAGGTGTTGGAAGCACACTGAATCGACCTCCTCCTGACTTCCCCCCACCTCCTCTACCAAAGGGAGCCCTGGAGATGGTTCCCGAGGCCCCCTTCACCAAACCTCGCTCCCTTTACCCCGACCTGGCTGAGGTCAGGATCCCCGCAGCTGGCTCCGCTGCCCACGGAGATGCTTTCAGGCGAGGAGGAGTTGGAGCAGGGGCGCTAGACGACCAGTCGTGCTCTGTGCTCCAGATGGCAAAGACACTGAGTGACAGTGAGTTTCCTGGACAGCCTCCTCGTGCCCCCTCAGCACCGCCTCCTCTCAGGGGGCAGCCGATGGGTTTAGGTCTGGATGCCTGCCGCACCTTCCCACCTAGAAATCCCATCACAGAAAGTATAGCAGAGGATATGCCTGAGGAGGTAAGCAGTTCATGGGAAGTAATTCTGTTCAGTGTAAAACCGTTTCAGAGGCTGGAAGAAGCAATGCTGTGAGTTTTGCGTAGTTTTCTTTCAGGTGACTCCAGTTTTTGTGCAGTTTCTCACAAAAACACGAATATCTTCAACTTTGATGTTAAATATCAAAGCCTTTTACTGTAAGATGTGTCACCTTATTAGAGTGCAGAAAAGTAGAGGCAGTCTTAAGCTCTTAGTAATGTTGTTAGCATAAATGATGTGGCGGATGTGGCTCCTGCATTTAGTGGCTCCTGCATTGCATTTCTCCTCCGCAGGCACTTTGGGGCAGCAGTAGCTCATCTCTGTCTGTGGGGGAATCGTCAGTGGGCGAGTGGCTGCAGAGGCTGGGTCTGGAGCGGTATGAGCAGGGTCTTCTACACAACGGCTGGGACGATTTGGAGTTCCTCAGGTACATGAAGATCTAGGCTTTTATTTCCTCTGATAATGCAACAATAAATAAAAATGAAAGCAGTTCTTCATCATTAGATTCCCTTTTTTCCCCCCTCCTTTTTCCAGTGACATCACTGAGGAGGACCTGGAGGAGGCGGGTGTGCACGACCCCGCCCACAAGCGAATCCTGCTTGAGAGCCTCAGGCAGCAGCAGCAGCAGAAATAGACTGCATCAAACTGGTCCATGACTGGTCCAAACCGGCCTGGTACCACACCGGGCCCAATCTCAGCTCAACTGAACCGAGCTGGAACGTGCCAATCGATGCCAGACTGTGCCTTCTGAGAGAAATTGCACTCCATTTGTACTTTCAAAAACACTTTCTGAACCAACGTCCTTTGATTTTCACATGTACTTTATGTGTGTTGTCCTCATACACGTGGCCTTATTTAATGATAATCATTTCAGTCCTTCAAGCATCACTACATAACTTTGGCTTTTAAATCCAGAGAGGAGATCAGGTCAGACCCAACCTGCAGCTTCAAGTTGGCATTTAAAGCTTGTTTCCATTCGGCCTGAGAATCCTCTAACTGAGGATGACTTTGAGAAAGAGAAAAGAGGGCTTTGAAAACACACCACCTGTGTTGCACACCCTCGCTTTGGACTCTTAACTCATTCACTGCCATTGACGTCTATAGACGTCAATTACGTTTTCAATGGGAGGGGCTAGAATACAACCTCGGGCAGCTTGTCAGTGAACATCAGACTGCTTGAAATGTATTTTTCACAAAAAGCTCGTTTTCTCCCTTTTTTTGGTCAAAACAGGCATTTTTGGTGGAACCCACCACTCTTCTACAGCTGATTACTAAAAAACGGAAAATGGTAGAAACAAGCTTTTTTTTTTTTGGATGGAAGAAGAGAGTCTGTTCTTCATTTTGGTAGGTTCAGCGTTTATGTGATCATAACACACAGTTTTCTGTGGCTCTTCAAAAATGAGTAAAAATGCTCAAAAACCCTGGCAGTGAATGAGTTAACAACACTGGGTTCTTCCGAGTCTCAGATTTTTCTTCCTCCCACTCATAGTCACAACAAGACATCAGTGGGAATAATTAGAACAGTCGGAAGTAACATCCGCCCCAGAGCTCGGGCAGAGGAACCTTTTAACCTGTGTGATGGAGGAGAGCAGGAAGCGGTGATCGAAAGGAAACTAGAAAGTCAGGCTTAAGTGAGATAAACTCAATTTTTTTTTCAGTTTGTGTATTCAGTTAATGATGTGCATTTATGGTTTTATCAATGTTTTTAATGATAAAGGGAATATCGAGCAAACCAAATTAACCCCGTTAGAGCTGAAGGTGTATTCCACCTGGGTGCAGCATGTTAGGTGACTGTGTTAGCCATCAACTTGTCAAGTCGCCTTTTTTTAAGTGGCCTGTTGCAGCTGGTTGTTATTGAAACAGTCAGTATAGGTCAATAAAATGAGGAGGCTAAATGGTGTAATTAATGCTGTACCAAGGTGAAATATGTCAAAGATTTTAGAAAAGTACATTTCTCATTCTCACATGTTGCCTGTAAAGATGCTGAATTGGAATTCACAGAAGAAAATGTATGTTATTGTTTGTTGCCTTGAAAACATGTCAGCATATTTTCTGCGTTTCATTTTCAAATATATAAATGGAGCAGCGTTCAGGCAAATTGGTTAAGGTAGCCAAATACATGAACTAATTCAACACCAAAACATTTGTTTTCTCTCTGACATTTTACTGTCATTTAGTTTGGGGGTTTTTTTTCTTAAATTACTCAACGCATTGCCTAGCTTTAGGATCATGGCACCTTTTACTCTTATGGGAGACGCTGTCAACTGACTGAAAACAGAAAACTCAGGTTTCTGCAGGTCAGGTGCGACGTCAGGGCTACTGTTTCTGGATGTGAGCAGCAGATGGCGCTGTTGCGCCACAAACCTGACCCTGGAAACCTGCGGAACACAGGATGAAGTATGCCAGTAGCGGTTACACTCCTTAGTCAAATTTGGTTTTAGATTTAGTTTTCAAGCAGTTAAAAGTCGGATAGTTTTATTTGTTCATAATTTCAATTTAAAAAAGAAAAGACCTTAAAGAGATGTGACTTCACCTCCACATGCCTAACACCTGCCGCCTTCTAAGGGGGATCACCAACACTAAGATGTGAATGTCATGTGTGTTTACTGCTGTCAACATAGTAAAGCATTCATCTCTAACTCTGTGAATGAGACCTTCATTCACGCCTCAAAGAGAGCCCCCTCCCACCCAAATACACTGTTGAATTATAACCTTTGACTCTACTCGCCTCTTATGTTTGTTTTTTTACAATGTGTCTAATCCTTTAACGGCCCAACCGTCACAGCACAGAGACTCTGGATCTGTCGTTCAGTTGTGTTAAATTTAAGTCTTTTTGAGCCTTTTCAGTGTTCTCAGTGATGTGTGTGTGTGTGTGTGTGCGTGTGTGTGTGTGTGTGTGTGTGTGTGTGTGTGTGTGTGTGTTTGTAAGTGGAAAAAAGAGACTTGTTGTTTTATCTGACACTCCATTTCTTGTTGTTTCTTCATGCAGTCTACGTCGGTTATGTTAAATTAATGTAAGTTGTTCACCCATGTATTTTTATTCAATTAAATTGTAATACCCTTACATATTTAAACATGAACTTATTCTCTTGGTTTGTCGTCAGCAGAGGAAGCTGTGAGCTGTAGACCTGCTTCAAAAAAGAGAGAGCTGGGTTTACAAATCGCGCGTTTAACATTCTGTACCTCTTCCTTTAACAACAGTCCGTAAACCTTGACAGACTTCTGGGAGGGGAATGCTGTCCCGTTCTTGTCTGATATCAGATTCTGGCTGATCAGCAGTCCTTACTCTTCTGTCATAGTTTTTGTTTCATTGCTCCAGATGTTTGTTTGGGTTGTTTTTTGGGGTTTTTTTTTTAAATATTTGGTGAAAGTTCTGCTGGCAGGCCAGTACAGCACCTGCAGTCTTGCAGCAGTATGCGGTTTAGCATCATCCTGCTAAAATATGCAAGGATGGGAAAATATCTTCCTCTCTTTCATCCAGAGGATGCAGCATTTCACGTTTCAGTTTGTGATGACATTTTAAATGTGCATTGTTCCCCTGAATCATCTTCACATGCAGCGTCTTCTTTGCACGATAGAGCTTTAACCTTTGTGGATGGCACGGTGCTCACAGATAATGATTCATGGATGTTTCTGAGCCCATGCTGTGATCTCCATGAGAGAATAAGGCCTGTTTTTATCCCAAGTTTCTCCAGATTCTCTGAATCTTTTGGTGATATTATGTGCTGTGAATGGTGACATAGTAAAGTCTTCACAATTTTATGTTCAGGAAGATTATTAGAAAATAATTTTGCAATTTGTAGACTGGAGAATCGCCTCTCTAAGATCTTTTATTACTGACCTGTTGCCAATTAGCACAATTAGTTGCAAAATGTTCCTTCAGCTGTTTCTCTTTAGGACCACTGACTCTTCTAGCCTTTTGTTGCCCCTGTCCCAATTTTTTTGCGATGCATCGCTGCCATCAAATTCTCATTGAGCTCATATTTTATAAAATAGGCACAATTTAAACATTTCATATGTTTGTTTTTTCTATTCTGTTGTTAACTGAGATTGAGATTTGGAGATCATTGCATTCTGTTTTTATTTACATTTTACACAGCATCCCAACTTTTTTGGAATTGGATTTGTATGACAACCTGTATATGTTTGCACATAAAACACAACACTGTTATGGTGATGCCACACACAAGAAGCCAGACCACCACGCGCGCCAGGTAATGCCTCCATAATGTAGATTTATTAGAATATTCAGAGTAGTGCTATAACATCTCATTCACTCGAGCTTTCTGTCAGTCTGTAGTTGTCGTTGACGCGTTGGTCCGTGAGACAGGCGCTCTGCAATGAAATGGATCTGTAAAGCAAAAAACCAAAAACAAAGCCTACCTAATATTTATATTACTAATTACAGAATTTACAGTCACAAAACTTTATGGGGCAGTTCAAATAAATGCGCAGGTTTCTCACTGACATAATAAAAATATTAAATACTTTTTTTTTCTTCCTCAGAAACCAGTGAGTTTCATCAAAATGCAATAGAGGTGATTTACAAGCAACTCTCGCAAGCTAAAAAAAAAAGGAAAGAAGAAACAAAATCTGAGTATTAATGCGGATACAGTACAAAACTCCATCTCTCAGTGTATTGCCAGATTACCCCACATGTCACCTATGGGAGAGAAACGTATGACTCGTAAGCCTGCTAAAGACCCTAACCCGGACTGCGACCTGCTGTACAAACTCATTTGTTCGCTTCAGTCCGGTCAGAGACGTCAGATATAATCAGGCTACAATCTGCTTTATTCCGAACAAAGAACGGGGGAGGAAGTAGCAGCATATGAACTAAAAATGGAGTCGAAACACCTTAAAGTCTCCAACTCTTTGCCTTGCAAAAGTCTGACAAACTGTTTGATAGATAAAGGCATGATGGGACGGCGAGAGTGTGGGATTCTGGAGGACTTGATACAGTAAAGAAGGAGGGGGGAGCGTGAGGTGAACTGGGGATGTCTGGTCTAGACCCGGCAGGTCTAATTGGATTTTTGGGTGCCCCTGCTCTGCTTGGCAAAGAGATTTAGGGGGGAACCTATTCCAACTGGTGAAAGCCTGTGTGTCGGGGGGGCTTAGAGGAAGTTGTGCTTGAGGGTGAAAGTTTGCTTCCCCAGCAGATTTCGGAGTGTGATGTTTAGATTTCTGCTTTAAACTCGTACCTGACCGCCATACTCATCAGAGCTGCTGCCATGCACCACCGAGTTTGCTGCAGTGCAGTGAGTGTGGGAATGTAGGTGCACCAGACAGACCGAAAAGACGATGCAAATATGGACAGTTTAAGGGCCTGTATAGTTTACCGTTATTAAGTAAAGTATTTCTCTTTGTTTTATCGGAGAGTGAGAGTGGAGTCATTGCAGGAAAGGGAGGAAACTGCCCGTGTCAAGGTAGGTTTTACAGGTACAGTGTGGACTGTTGCATAATATTTTTGGACGGCAGATGGTGAGCAGACCTGTGATTTTATTTTCTGAGTCGGTAAGAGAAGAACTGAGAACCTTGCTGGACCACAGCAGACTACAGCAATGGATTCAGTGTTTTAATGGGCAAGTCTTGTCTCTCTCCACAAAGGCTAGAAACTCCTCTCGCTTACAGTTTGTTTCTCATTTGTCTTGCTCTGTTCTTCAGAACAGATTCGTCTTGATGGTGGGATTGGGTTTTCTGTGGAAAGAGGACAGAACTCCGGCAAAGGGCCCGGTCATACTGTCCGCTGGCTGCCAGGCCTTCAGAATCTCCTGAGTCTGGGCAGCGGGCTGCGCCACGGCCGGGTTGGAGGGCCCCAGACTGGACCAGCTGGGAGGCTTCAGCCCCTGGAGAACCGGAGAGCTGGAGGTGTTGGTGTAGCTGCTGTTGGCAGGAGCCGGACTGGGGCTCAGACTGGCAGGGCTCCCCAAGTTTCCATTGGCTGAGCCCGGCAGGGAGGCCGTGCTGTCAGGTGTGGGGCTACAGGTGGACTCTTTAGACTCATCATCATCTGATGAAGATCTTGGCTCCCCGCCCTTTTTCCCTCCAGAGCTGTTGTTGCTGCTGCTGCCTGTGGTGCCAGCAGAGCTGTTGGCTTTGGCGTTGGCTGCACGCTCCTGCTTACGGAACTTGGCACGTCTGTTCTGA